GTTGTTCTAGAACATCTTTTTGAAATTGAAGATGTGAGAGTTGGCTCTACTGCACGGAAATCTATTCCTCTTTTAGTGGATCTCTTGAGACCAATACCAGATAGGCCTGGAGCCCCTCCAATTGCTGTTCAACTCTTAACCCGCATTGCTGAGGGAAGTGATACCAATAAATTAATCATGGGTGAAGCTGGTGCTCTTGATGCTTTAACAAAGTATCTGTCTTTGAGCCCTCAAGACTCAACAGAGGCTGATATATGTGAATTACTCAGAATATTATTTGGCAATCAGGATCTTATTCGATATGAAGCATCGCTTAGCTCCTTGAATCAACTTATAGCTGTGCTGCGCCTGGGTTCAAAAAATGCTAGATTCAGCTCTGCAAGGGCTCTCTATCAACTTTTTGATGCTGAAAATGTTAGAGATTCTGAATTAGCAAGGCAGGCTGTACAACCATTGGTTGACATGCTTTGTGCTGCCTCAGAGAGTGAGCAAGAGGCTGCTCTTGTTGCCTTGATCAAATTAACTACAGGAAATACTTCAAAAGCAGCTATAATGACTGATGTGGAAGGAAACCCACTTGAGAGTCTATACAAAATCTTATCTTCTTCTTCATCTTTGGAATTGAAAAGAAATGCTGCACAACTTTGTTTTGTACTCTTTGGAAATACTAAATTTAGGGCAAACCCTATAGCCTCTGAATGCATACAGCCCCTAATTTCTCTTATGCAGTCTAATACTAGTACAGCTGTGGAGTCTGGAGTTTGTGCTTTTGAAAGATTGTTAGATGATGAGCAGCAGGTGGAGCTTGCTTCAGCATATGACATCATTGATCTCCTCATTGGCTTGATATCTGAGAGAAATCATGAGCTTATTGAGGCCAGCGTATGTGCACTCATAAAGTTGGGGAAAGACCGCACACCATGCAAATTAGACATGGTCAAAGCTGGTGTTATTGATAATTGTCTTGAGGTACTCCCTGTTGTGTCCAGTTCATTATGCTCCTCAATTGCAGAATTGTTCCGCATTTTAACAAATAGTAATGCTATTGCTAGAAGTTCAGATGCCGCAAAAATGGTAGAGCCTCTTTTCATGGTTTTACTTCGTCCAGATTTTAGCTTATGGGGACAGCACAGTGCCTTGCAAACCCTTGTAAATATCTTGGAGAAGCCACAAAGCCTTGCAACTCTGAAATTGACTCCCAGTCAAGTCATTGAGCCTCTGATTTCATTTCTGGAATCACCTTCTCAAGCTATCCAGCAGCTTGGAACAGAATTATTGACTCATCTACTTGCACAGGAACATTTTCAGCAAGATATCACGACGAAAAATGCAGTGGTGCCACTGGTGCAGCTTGCTGGAATTGGAATATTGAATCTGCAGCAAACAGCAATTAAAGCTTTGGAAAAGATCTCTGCAAGTTGGCCGAAGGCTGTTGCTGATGCTGGAGGTATTTTTGAGCTTGCAAAGGTCATCATTCAAGATGATCCTCAGCCTCCTCATGTGCTTTGGGAATCAGCTGCTTTGGTTCTCTCCAATGTTCTGCATTTCAATGCTGAGTACTATTTTAAAGTCCCTTTAATAGTTCTGGTCAAAATGCTGCACTCCACACTAGAAAGCACTATTACTGTGGCTCTTAATGCCTTAATTGTCCATGAAAGGAGTGACGCTTCAAGTGTTGAACAGATGACTGAAGCTGGAGCTATAGATGCATTGTTGGATCTACTAAGATCTCATCAGTGTGAAGAAGCTTCTGGAAGATTGCTTGAAGCTTTATTTAACAATGTTAGGGTACGGGAGATGAAGATTTCTAAGTATGCCATTGCACCCTTAGCACAGTATTTGTTAGACCCACAGACGAGATCAGAGTCTGGCAGGCTTCTTGCAGCTTTAGCTCTTGGAGACCTCTCCCAGCATGAAGGACATGCTAGAGCCAGTGATTCTGTTTCTGCATGTCGTGCACTTGTAAGCTTGCTTGAGGATCAGCCAACAGAAGACATGAAAATGGTGGCAATTTGTGCATTGCAGAACTTTGTAATGCGGAGTAGAACTAATAGGCGAGCTGTTGCTGAAGCAGGTGGCATATTAGTAATTCAGGAACTTCTACTATCTCCCAATGCAGAAGTTGCTGCGCAGGCAGCATTGCTGATCAAATTCTTATTTTCTAATCACACACTTCAAGAATATGTATCAAACGAGCTCATCAGGTCATTGACAGGTGATATAAAACTGCAACAGTTTGATTCGCTCTTTTTTACAATTTGTTGGTTTCAGTTCAGAGTATGTAGATGCAATGCTAAATTGTTTCTTTTGTTAATTGAAAAATTAATGTTAGTAAGAGAAAGAAAAAGGAGGAACATTCTACATATTTGCTTGAAACTTAGCTCAATTCATTTGTCTGAAGTTCATGTTCGCATGATATGACTTCCATTTTACACTACAAGAACTTCTAGCCAACAAAACACCCAGCTTAGGCTTTTCACTTTTCTCTTGGTTTCCTGTCTCACTTTCTTTTGGTTCTCACTCAACATTGCATTTTAATATTGAAATGTGTAATCACTTTGTTATGCAGCTGCACTAGAGAGAGAATTGTGGTCCACTGCAACTATTAATGAAGAAGTGTTGAGAACATTAAATGTGATATTCACCAACTTCCCTAAGCTCCATATATCTGAAGCAGCTACCTTGTGTATTCCCCATCTCATAGGAGCACTAAAGTCTGGGAGCGAGGGTGCGCAAGAATCTGTATTGGATACCCTGTGCTTGTTAAAACATTCTTGGTCAACCATGCCAATAGATATTGCAAAATCTCAGTCCATGATTGCTGCTGAAGCAATTCCTATTTTGCAAATGCTGATGAAAACCTGTCCTCCAAGTTTCCATGAGAGGGCAGACGGTCTATTGCACTGCTTACCAGGATGTTTGACTGTTACCATCAAGCGTGGAAACAACCTAAAGCAAGCTATGGGAGCCACAAATGCATTTTGCCGATTGACAATAGGCAATGGTCCTCCCCGGCAAACCAAGGTAACAGTTCTATTCAAAGGTCATTGGAAAAGAAACTATTTGTATCCTACCTGTAGATTGGTCTTAAGCCATATGAAATGTTACTTGCTCTTTATTCTTGGAAGGTCTCCATATCTTAGCCTTTTTCTTTTCTGGTTTATTTATGGTGATGCATTTTGCATTGATTGCCCTTTGCCAGGGTATAGAAAATGGAGGCTTTAGAATGTTATCATTTCTTGTTTTATTTGATGGCTCCTGAATTTGCCACTTTATAAGGCATTTACGGTATGCATGACTTCATTGCCTTGTTGCAATTTTCGAGTTCCTCTTTGTTAAAAAACTTTGAAGTCTGCAGGTCTAGATTTATCAAGAAACTCAGGGCTTAGCATTTCATTTATTCATCGAAAGTTTTTTCTAAATTATTTATTCAGATAAAGAATTTATTAGCAAGTCGAGAATTTCATTCTTTCTTAAAAACTTTCTGGTCTGCACCGTGATTCTGTATCAGACACTTCTTATGTGATGGAAAAATAAAGTTTTACATTTGTATCCTTGCTGATTATCTATCATTTGATTACTATCAATGTCCGCACTATAACACGAGTGATTTTGTACCATGATTAGGTTGTGAGCCACAGTACTTCTCCAGAGTGGAAAGAAGGCTTTACATGGGCTTTTGATGTGCCCCCAAAGGGACAAAAACTCCATATAATTTGCAAAAGCAAGAATACTTTTGGGAAGGTAATAACATTTCCAATTTTATGCTGAATCCATGGTCTAGTTGTTGCAATACTCCATGCAGTGCTACTTGTTGCTTAAATGAGCAAGTTTTCTTTTTGTAGTGGGAAAAATGCTAATAGTTATACTATTTCATTTCTCTGTCACAAATGGTATTACTTTCTGATTTCTGATCGAGATGTTCGCTTTTTCAGACAACTCTAGGAAGAATGACTATTCAAATTGACAAAGTTGTGTCAGAGGGAGTATACAGTGGTTTGTTCAGCCTTAATCATGATAGCAACAAAGATGGGTCTGCAAGAACACTTGAGATCGAGATTATCTGGTCGAACAGGATATCAAACGATGATAGCATGTAAAGGGTAAAAGATTATATCTCTACAAGCAACCACAATGAAATTTACAGAAGACAGATGATAATAATATTATCAGGTACACGAGGAGTTTTGGTGTGCTTGTGTAAGTATTATATAAATATGTATCTTTCGAAGGTCCAGTTTTGATAGTAAATGCTTAAGATGTAAAGTGTAAAATGTTTACTGATGTGAGGAGATGAAAAAGAGAATCAGAGAGGTTTCCCTCCAGTGTCGGGGGAGCATAAAAGCTGTTTAGAAGTTTCTTGTACAGATGAGTCTCTAGGGACCAGCCAGAGGAAAATGGCATTGCAAAAATATGATGAAATTGGGCTTTTTGGCACGAAGTGCTGCCTTGTTAAATGGTGGGAAATGGCTGTATTTGTGCTCATATTTGTGTTATCTGGCTGCCTGGACTCTTGAAACACCAACAATCCACTTCTTTGGGCGCCAATTCATAGACCCAAAGACCATAATTTCTTGCTTTTCAAAATTATCTGGCCTTTATTTGTCTCATATCTGTCTAATCCTTTGAATTATTACACATTTGAAGTAAGAAGACATGAGAAAATTTCATTCTGATTAAGCTTCCAGTTCTCTTCTACAAGCACTAAGCCTTGTATTTGTTTACGATCCCAACCCCTAAATTCCTAATGCATGTGAAATTGAGGGAATAAGCATTACCAAAAGTCAGCCTGGTTGACCAGATGCAGCATTACTAGGCCTAAAACGTAAAACCTAAGGTTCAACTAATGATACCTTGCCCTCGCCAAAAGACAATGACGATTCAACTCAATATGCATCCTTTAATCATGAAGGTACTTGCGGGGATAGGCATATGCAAAGTGCCAACTATGTTATCTAGTATTTGATTATACAGAGAGACCGATGAATGGAATCGCCAACCACCCTAAGTTTTTACTCCAGGCAATAAGATAGCAAAATATTCACATGCATCAACTAATCCCCCATAACATGGAGTAAAATAATCCCAATCCGGTAGTATGCACTTGTAGTTAACTAATGGCAGCTCCGACATGCAAGTGGTCGAGACTAGGAAGAACTTGAACTGAGATGAGAAAATCCCTAATACATACAGGGAAGGTTAGCTTAACTTTTAACAACTATCTTCAGCCTTTACGATCTCAAAACTACATTCTTTAGGTATTCAGGACTCACAGACTACATAAGCAAACCCTTTACATTTGTCAGGCCAAAATCATATAAGGAGAACATCTTTGAGATCCTGCATGAATGCAAGGAGAAGAAACAAGCCCAAGCTTGACAAACAGCTACTTTGCTGCGGCAACCAGTGCAGATCTAGCTCGTGTGAAAGTAGCAATGAGTGATCCAAGCTGCAATTTATCATTGCACCCAAAACTCAAATGATACCTGCAAATGGTAAATATACCAGTTGATGTAATTGAAAACCACTAAACTTGTGTACATGAATAACTTCAACCACTCTGTTCATTAATCAGCAAGTCCATCAATATCCAAAAGCCAAAATGGCAGATGCTTCCTTCTTTAGTTTCTATTATAATATCGATAGAGAATACAAACACAAGTTTTAGCTTTCATTCCTTACTATTAGTTGTTACAGTCTTTATAATAAGGACTTATCAAAATGCCAATAGCTACTATCTGATACCTTCCACACCCTATTGTTTCTTCTCACATGCTGAACCATGGGCATTTCCCTTCTATGTGGGGAAAGAGCTACATTTGATTATAAAATTACAAAACCAGCCACAATGGAGTGAACTAGAATCATCCATATGCAAATATTAAAACACATACAGACCTATAACAGTCATTTTCTTCATGATTTCAAAACAAAGCCAATAGCATTTTCTTACAGAGGTTCCATATCATCTACTAGTCAATTATTCTTCAATCTATTATCTAATAATCAAAGTATTATTTATATTTATGTTGATAAGCAAAATTCTTTCAACATTCTGGCCCCACTTAAAACAGCCAACACCCAACAAATAGCCTGAGTATGAGAAAGGGGAGATCTCAAACAATAATAACAAGATGACGTAATGGCTTTAAATAAAAAATCTTATTTCCACTAAGCATACTCTAATTTAAAGTCCAAATCAAGAAATTCATAATACTTGGATAAAATAGTCTTATTTATTAAATAAATGCTGAAAAGTGAAAACATGGTGCTTATTGTAGCCAAATAGCCTTGACCATACTTTTCATCTTCACTATTTTTTTTTCTTCGTTATATGATATATTCATATTTTTACATCTCAATACCTCAGTTTCATTTTATCACTAGCCTCAACTAAAATGAAACAACAGTTTTTTTCTACCAATCATTCATCTGTATCTGTTTGTGTGGTGTGCGCGCCCGCGCACGTGTGTGTGTGTGTGCGAGAGAGAGAGAGAGAGAGCAGCAGATGTACTTACTCTATGTCAGCCAAGTCATTAATTAATTGAACTCGAACATCTGAGGGCATCTTAATCTTGAAAACAAACCTGTTCAAAAAGAGTAGTGGATGACTATCAAGCATTAAAAGCTCCAAGAGTGACCAATAAAAATTATAACGGACATGGCACTTACATTGTCACTTCCCTTACAATATCGACCAAGGCCAATCCTTTCCTTGTCTTGATTTCAGATATCCCTACAGAGAGTTAATTACAGAATAAAACAGATGGTTTTCAAAAGAACAAAAACTACATCTACAGACTAGAATTGTAGTGATTGTATAACAAACTGAAGAATTGGGATGAATACGTTTAAGACTCTCAGCAAATGATTCATTCAGAAGCCAGTAAGATATTTGCTCAATGTCTTTAGGCAACGGATTTCCAGTACAGAGATAAACGGCTTCTTCTGTAATCTGCTGAGAAGCCATGTGTGTTGACTGCATATAGCAAAATATATATATATATATTAACAATGCCACTCTTGCACATTTGTAAATAACACCAAAAAATCAACAACTCCATAGGTAATTAGGCATCTTCATCTCCCAAATCCCCCCTCAACAAGGACAATGAAGTACATTCTATGCATTAAAAAGAGTTGATATCATCTTAAAACACAAACACATGACCTGACATATTAAGTATAACTTAGATGAGACTTCAACCCTCCAAATAACAATGAAAGATCATATAATAATGTAGCATGACTTTCTTCTGCAACAAAGTCAAGAAAAGATCCCACCATCAAGCCAAATTCAAGAGGAAAGCGTGTGCACTTTTTATAAACAAAATTTCTAAAATATGCTCAGAATTCTTTAAGCAACATTGAATATACCATCTGTCTAGCCCATTCTAGTTCTTGCCAAAATCCCAGACTGCCCAATCATGATATGTGCAGATCATATATCATCTTTTGTTTTTCTTTCAATAAGAAATTTCAACTAAATCTCTTTTCTATTTCCGTTCTCTTTACCAACAAAATGTTAAGCATCTCCACCCTCCCCTCCTTTTCTGTGACGATCCTGACAACCAAGCATAATGACTTTGCAGCATTAAGTACAATTAACCAATATTAGGAATGAATAGTATTTTCAAAGATTTAGAACATCAATACCAGCCTGTTGTTTTTCTAACTAGAATTCTAAAACAAGTACTATTATCACACACACCAATGTACACAAAAGCAATACACGAGTAGGGGATCTAAAAACCTGCAAAATGTTTAAAGCCTTTCTCATATCACCATTGCTAAGCCGTACAAGTGCTGCCAAGCCACTATCAGGTACATCAAGCCTGGTCCAAAGAGGCAAAAAGGTTAATAACATTCAGGTGTAAGATTCAAAGTCACAGTCCAAAAAGAAAAGGTAAAGCCACATGACAAATACCAAGGAATTAATTTTTCACTTTTTCACAATTCTAATACAAGGTTGAAAATGATTCGAGCCAAGCTAGGCTTTAAAACTTTCAACTAAGCTGATTGCATATATAAGCAAGTTTGAGACAGGCCTGAAATCACAAGCTCCAGTTTAACTAGTGGCAAATTTGTAAAATCTGCAGGTTGGTTTTTGTAGGCTAATTTTATTTACAAGCCCACTCAAATATTAGCAATTCAGAACAAAGAACCAATCTAAAAGTTTTAGAATGTTAGTAGTTTGAAACCAAAAAATAAAAAACAGAGAAAGAATTCTATTTATAGGCTGACAAGTCAACAGACTGAGCACAAAAGAGTGACAAAAGGAAACAGAATACATGCCTTTCAGCCTCTATAACATGTTTAAGTCGCTCAGTGACATGAATAGGATCAAGAGGTGCAAATCGGAACCGAGTACATCTGGACTGTAGTGCCGGAATGATCTTGTTGACATGATTACAGATCAGCGCAAACCTAGTGTTCTTTGTGTATTTCTCGATAACTGCACACAATCATCGAAAATATAGGCATAAAAAAGATAATAATAACTTGTCAAAGAGATAAAGCTTGTCAGGAACAATTTATACCTCTACGCAAGGCAAATTGTGCATCCTTTGTCATAGCATCTGCCTCATCAAGTAAAATCAACTTTACTGATGACTTTGCCCTGTGAAAACCTCCACGTTAACCATCAATAAGTTACCTTTGCAAAGAATTTATTGAGGCCAAAATTTTATGGCACACACAGTCATAAACATATAAATGACTGCACAACGCCGTACCAAAATCCAAAACACAAGAAAAAAAAAATCAATCCTAGTGACACCCCACTTCCCCCAGCCTTTGGCACACACTCAATCACTCTAAAACTCTATACCAAAATCAAAACACAGACAATCATGAAAGAGGTAATCGTAACTCGCAAACACCCAAGAGCATTTTCAGCCGCAATAGAAGATAACAGCCAGACTGAAACAACAACTACAACAAATTTATGCAGTGCCAAATTCTGAACTGATACACTGGCAGTAGTTGTCACACTGATGCATTATATAAGCAATAATGGAGAAAAATTAATTGTGCACAACAAAAAGAATTTTACCCAAATGAGAAGCTTTGAGTGCTAGCAAAATCTTGAATCTGTTGCCTAACAACCTCAATTCCCCTTTCATCTGAAGCATTCAGCTCAAGAATCATATTATGATACTGCGCTCCGTAAAGCTTCCGTGCCACAGCCAGAATAGTGGATGTTTTGCCCGTACCGGGAGGACCATACAACAGAAGATGCGGCAATCTGTTCTCGCTCGTAAGCCTGTCAACTAATTATTCCAAATTCAAAAAATAGAAAAAAAATGAGTACATAATTTGTTACTATAAGATATCGAGGACAATAACACAACAAATCCAATTTCCTTGAATTTAGCAGCCAAGAGAATGATTTTATTAATCTAAAATTAATTGCTAATTTACAATTAACAATTAAAATGAAAGAGCCAAACGAAAAGTTTGAAATCTCGAATTATATTTGCTCCTCTATTTCCTGGAGTTCCTTTCCTTTTTACCCCTATAATTTCAGTGAAACAGAGTAAAAAAATACAAGCAATTATGGGGAAACATATTTACTTATCCAATAAAATGGGGGAAATATATTTTAAAAAACCTAGGATGGAGAGAGGAAGGAATTACTGGTGTCGACAATGTCGCGGTGAGCGGCGACGTCGGCGAGGGATTGAGGGCGGTACTTCTCAACCCAGGGAGTGGCTTTGGTATCGGTAGTTGTGACGACATTTTTGCCCTTGCTTAGCTTTCGAGAGTGGTTTTCTTTCTGGTTATTGTCGTCTTCGTCGATGTCCATCAGCGAAACTACCTCCGCCATTGTCGTCGAGTTTTTCTCCTTCTCTTTTATTTTGCTGCGATCGTGGTCGTTCGATCCCCGCCGTTCACTACGGCTAACGAGTGTGAGAAGAACCGAAGCTGTTCTTTGTCATTTTTGACGAGTGTAAAGGCGCCAACCCTGTTTTCGAAGCGCGCTTCTTTTTGCTGTACGGTACTACGGTTCGTCCGGTTCTTTTTTTTATTATTATTTTCTTTTGTTTCAAGTTCTAACAAAATAGTAGGGTAAAAGATTCGTTTTAAAGAAATCAATTTACTTTTGTTGAATGAATAATCTTGTATAAATAGAAATATGATTGCATATCATATTATATAAATTGTAATAAAAGGGGTTTTAATTATTTAAATCCACTTATAAAATTAAAAGAAAATCACTACAAATATATACATAATAATTCATTTTATAATTATAATCTATCATATTCGAGCAATTTCTTGACAATTGAATAATTCAGAATTAATATCCTCAAGTCCAAAACTAATCTGTTCCCGTTAAACAAAACAAGCACTTTTTATATTAATTTATTACCCAAAAGTCTAAAAATATTTAACATGTTGAAGATAAAAAAAATAAATATGAATTTTTCCTTAAATTTTTTTAATTTAAAGTTACCACTTATAAAAAGTAGCTTTTCTTATTTTAATAAATAAATAAAATTCTAATAATTAAATATGATTAAATTTCATATTTCATTGTACAATACATATTACATATCAAACGGTATATTTTTTATATTTGATTGAAGATTATATAATTTTTTATTAATATATTATCTTATAATTCATAAGGAGTACAAAATATTCAAATGATGCAAAAGAGATATATATTTTATTTTATTTTTTTGGTATCAATCTGTTTATAAATGTCATCATCCTAAAGTGTTTGTTTTGTTGAGAATATTTGTTGTTTGGTTTTGCCATAGAAACAATAATTGAATGTTTATTGGATGGAATATGATCTGAGTCATAGAAAATGGCAGTTTGTCTTGACATGCTTTATCGGTTATAAAACATGTCATTCTGCATGTGATTTTAAGCCTGCTTATAACTTATTGCATCAATGCAACTTGGTTCCAATACCCAAAAAGCCAAATATAATTTTATAAATTAATGTCAATAATGAATCATGGAGAATTGTGTTTCAATAATAATACTATAATATTTGTTTGTTTTAAGTTTTTTTTTATGTATATAATTTTAAACTACATAATAATAATAATAGTGAAAGGTAATAAATAGGTTGTACAACCAAGAGTAATATTATATAATTATTTATCGACTAATCTTTTATGATTTAGACTTCTCTTTCAAAATCTACGAGATATATTTCATACTACTTTTTTGTTAAATTTGGTATTTTAAACTTAAACATAAGCAAAGTTATGATTAATAAAATTTCATGGAATATGGGATTTGATATCTCATGTTGGTTTCTTTGTAAATGAAGAGATTCATTCAAACAAGATTCTCCCTACAAAGGGCTAATTGAATTTAATTCAAAATTAGGCATTTGATACACATTCGTCTTTTAAATATATATTCTGCAGGAAGGGAGTTCAGATGCACCAGCGAGGATGGAACGTTTGATAAGGTGGCTACCACCTAGGGCGGACTGTGTTGCTTTAAATGTTGATTGGTGGTTTTTGACATTCTTCGGGCAAAGGCAGCAGCGGGAAGCGCATCACATGATGCACAAAGTGAATGGAAGGGAGGTTTCTCACTCAAATTAGATAAGTGATCAGCGTATACATAGTAGCTTTGGAGTGCTTACGAAGGTCTAAATTTGGCATGAGCTTGTCCTAATTCGGACTTGATTGGCAATCCGTAGTCTTCTTCAACGACAGTGGGAGGTGGTTACGTGACACATCTTTGGAGAAGGTAACAAAGTAATTGATTATATGGCTAACAAGGATTTGTAGTCTAAAAGAATCCTTCTTTAGATATTAGAGATTTATTATTATATAAAGTAATGAGATTTTGTTTATTACAATTAATAAAAATATAAATTGATTTCTTTTTTTTAAAAAAATGATATGTAAATATATTATATTGATAACGTGTGACATAAAAAAATAATAAGTGTTTTAATTAATGATAGTTAATTAATTTTTAATGATTTATATAATTTAAAATAAAAATATAAAAAGTTAATTAAAATTAACAAATGAATAAATATTTATTTAATTTTTTTAAAAAATATTTCAAAACTGTTTTTTTTTTAAATTTTAAAGATATATTTTTGATGATCATGCAGAGCACATGAAGGCGGAAAAAAAACCCAAGTTGTCAATGGCATCTTCCTCAGCTAGCTTTTCCAAAGCTTGAGAAGGTAGGGAGAAAAATAAAAATAAAATATGGCAACGTAAGGTTAACGTGCTTCTCACCAAATTTGCCTTTATATCTAGACAAAAGTTTCAATTTCAAAATCCAACAGCACCTGACGATAGGGGCATATCTGGCAATTTATCATAATTAAAAATAAAAAAAAAGGGAAAAAGGAAGCGCACAGTCGGACAAATTCAAAGAAAACCAATTGATCAGCCTCGTTTTGGAGGGAGAGAAGAGAGAGAGAGAGGGAGAGAGAGAGAGAGAGCAGCTTAAGGACGGCACGGTTTTCACTCCTCAGCCTCCTCTCGCCGGCATGTGACAGCCCCCTCCTTTTTTTTCTTCTTTCTCTAGAACTTTGACTTTCCTTTGACTTCTTCGTCTCCGTTCTTTTTTCCTCCCGAAGATGTCCAGTAGGTCACATCGGTCCTCCATCTCGCCGTTCCGTTCACGTAAATCTCCCGTTCCTTCGCCTTCCACCAAGACGGTGGGTCGGCCGGTGACACCTTCCCCCACGACGTCGTCTCGGCCTCCTTCTAGACTTTCGCCTTCTCCAGCTACTTCTTCTAGTCCCAGTCCAGGTCCAAGCCCGCCCGTTGTCGTACTTGAACTCCCCGAGACCGCCAAGCGTAAAGAAAATGTCACCGTCACTGTCCGTTTTCGTCCTCTCAGGTGCTTCCTCTTTGTGGCTGTATTCTGTTGGTCCGTTATTTAGCTGTCGCTGACAGTACGGAAGCTTTGTTGTTTGAAACTAATATTTAATTTATTTCTCTTTTTGGAACAGTCCGAGGGAAATTAATAAAGGAGACGAGATAGCGTGGTATGCAGATGGGAATTTTACAGTGAGGAACGAGTTCAATCCTTCTATTGCTTATGGCTTTGGTTAGTAACGTTTTATTTTATTTTATTTTACGTATTTGAGTTTAAAGAGTGCAATAAATTTCCATTAAAGTGACAGTAGAATTTCTTTTAAATTGTAGAGTTGCCAATTGCTATGAATTTTTGTTCGATGTTTTTTCATTTTGGTTTCACTCTATCTTCCATTTTGATGCTGCTGCACTGAGTAAATCAATAATGAACAACCATTGAGTAGTTTTTTTTTTTTTCCCTTCAAGGATAGGAGTGTAAGTGTTAATTTATTTATTTTCAATTTGGATTTTGGAGCGGAAGAGTTAGAAAAATGAACTAGTTAATATACATTTTTGGTTGCAAAGATTTTTATCTTTTGTGTATGTTCTACATGATGGTCGTGTTTTCTGATATATTTTGCTGAAACGGCCTTTTAGAACTTGGACATATACACATTTGTTTTTGAAATTTCTTATGGTTATTGATTTTCTAAGTTGATTTTCATGTCTTTTACAGACAGAGTTTTTGGTCCAGCAACAACTACACGCCATGTCTATGATGTTGCTGCTCAGCATGTTGTAAGTGGTGCCATGCAAGGGATAAATGGTAACTTTCTTTATTTTTTAATTTTAATTTCACGGACTATGATGAGCTATTGAGCTGCTGTGAGTCATTATAAGTAATTTATGACTGTCACTGTTGGTTGTGATGTACGGATGGGATATCTTAAATGTCCAATGACCCATTAAAATGATCAATTATGTGAAAATTATGGTATCACTTCGTATGAATTTTGATTTGAAATTTAGTGAACAAAGAGAAGAAAGCCTTAGTTAATGCAGAAATAAATCTCACTTAAAGTAAATCATTTCATGCAAAATTCATAGTGAAAAGAAAAACATTATATTCATTTTTTTTTCTGTGAACTGTATCAAATTCAAGCAAACAGCTAGGACATTGTAAAAGGGGAAAGAGGAAGAAGACTTACCCATGTTCTTTGAAGTTTTAGAAACTAAAGAAGGATAGATTGGTGAACAATAATTCTGTTAGTACTTGTTCATCTAGAATATGGATTAGTTAGTGGACATTAGCTTAAGAGAATTTTAGGAGAAAAGATAGTCATATTGATTAATGTAACATTCATTTATTTTTGATGCAGCATTAACTTAACATATTATGCATTGTTAATACAGAACAATAAATAATTGCTTATAATTTTTTAACTTGCTAACTAGTTAAGAAAGTTCAATTGTAGTACTAAACTAAATTGGTTTGACCATTTTATGAATTGTATTTATTGAAAATTAGACAAGAAAGAGTATCCCTCAGTAGAGTGGTGGAAAGGGATAACATATATACAAGCACTAGTTTGGAAGGGTTTAATAATAATACAAGGCCTATTTTCTTTCTTAGCCTGGTTCTGTAGTAATTCAAATTTAATGATGACAAAGTTGTCATTTCATGATGAATTGTTAGATGACTATGATTGCTGTGATCTCATGCAGGCACGGTTTTTGCATATGGTGTTACAAGTAGTGGGAAGACTCATACAATGCATGTAAGTGTTGAACAAGAGATTCTGTCATTTCTCATCTCTCATCTCTCATCTCTGCACTATAAGTTGTACTATATATACCATGAATGTGTTTTTCTGTTGGGTATTAGAGCTTCTTTTAGTGATTGATCTCTGTGGTGGATATTGGGTGCTTCTGGGACTAATTTGAATGAAAATATATAGTTTTTTCTTGGAAAGGACATCAAACATTACAATCAATATCTTTTTTACTTAAAATGGCTTTGAGCAGCATCCGAGCATTTGGCTTATTGGTTGGTGCATGATCTCTCTGCCTAAAGAGCAGTGTTTGAATCCCCCCTCCCCCAATTATTAAAAAAAAAAATGGCTTTGAGCAGATGCGAATGTGTGTGAATTCTTCTGTTTTCTGTTCTTGACACTTTCATCAGAGAGTTAATAGAATTTTACTGATAAATAAAGTCCTTTAGTGTTGGGCATTATCTATCATCAGAGGAAGAATCACAAGAGGGCCCTTTCATGGGATTTATCATGTTTATCCTATCTCTTTGCGCTACTTAAATGTACCTTGACCACCTTTCTTGATGTAGGGGGAGCAAAAGTCACCTGGAATTATTCCATTGGCTGTTAAGGATGTATTTGCCACCATTCAAGAGGTAATTGGTTGATCTTCCATTTGATTCAATGTGTTTTTAGACAATATACTTCCTTTGAGTAACTCAGCTTTTTCTCTTTTAGACACCTGGGCGGGAGTTTCTTCTTCGTGTTTCGTATCTTGAGATTTACAATGAGGTTGGTCCTCTTCTTATTTTCATTTATATGAATTTTATACTATTTTTTTTCATTTAATATGCCAAGCTAATACATTTTGCTTAAAATAGTAGAAGATAATGTCCAATGACTTCGAGTTGGGAGTTTTTTGGAGGCTAAAAGAAACATAGAGACATAGCCGGAAGGCAATATTTATTTTTGATCTGTATTCTAGAGGGTTTTATCTCGTCTCCCTGTGATGTTATTGCACTTTGAGCTAATTATCAGGATTCAAGGGAAGTTTATATAAGCCGTAAGTCATGCTAGTAGATATTGGATACTGTCAAGGAATTCAGAATGCTTCATAATATCTAATCAGTTTAGGAGCATCGTTTGATGTGGCTTCAAAACTTGTATTTAAGTTTTACTCATTGAATATAAAATGTAGCAAATGTAGGGGATAAGTGTTAAAGGATCATTGCTTGTATTTTTTTTATGTTTTTAAATTCTTGTCTTTCTTGGCATGTTTAATCTGGGAGGAAAGGTGCAAGTAGGTAAGGCATCAGATGATTAGATCAACCATGCTATTTAGTCTGTATTATTGGCTGCGAGTGCATGTGCTAGGCACGAAATAGATTTCTTGGACTGGACACTGCATTATTCTTCACAAGTGATTGAATAGATGAGTTATTTTTCTGAAGATCTGTACTGTAGCTCTGCTGTAAGCATAATAGACCAATCGATCTTAATGGTGTCACTTCTTGTTGTACTCTAACTTGTTGTTCAGTTTGTTAAATTTGATAATCTCTAGAAGCATCATGTCTTGTCCAAAGACCTTGCTCATTTGAAGTAAATGCTTTTCGTGCCTTCTTGTTTGGTGGTTGTATTAATAAAACCTTCTGCTTTTGCCCTCTTTGTTCACCAGGTCATCAACGATTTGCTTGATCCTACAGGGCAGAACCTAAGGATAAGAGAGGATGCTCAGGTGATGAAATGCTTTCTCCCTACTTTTCACCCTTTTAAGTGCTTATGTTTTGTACCCTCAATTATTTTTATGTGGAAGTTGTTCTTTTATTGCCCTTTGCCCCACGTTATCTGCGTTTATTGCTCCATATGTGCTGCTTTGTGGTAGATTTATATTTATTGTGTAGACTTATACCGCTTTTCAAAAAAAAAAAAACCAGTACACTTATACCTATAATATTACAGCAATCGCTGCAGTTTGTATAATCTTAACAGTTTAAGATCTATTTTATTTTAATTTGTGGTATATAATGTGAACAGGGAACTTATGTTGAGGGAATCAAAGAAGAAGTTGTTTTATCTCCTGCTCATGCTCTTTCCTTGATAGCATCTGGAGAAGGTTTAGTAACACTCACTTTCTGTATTCTAGTAGACAAATACAAAGAAACATTTCTCCCTTGGTACACTTAGTTGTCATTTATTTTCTTGAGATTTAAATTTATTTCTTAAAGCATAATTTTCTTTTTTTTTTTTTTTTGCTTTCATTTCTATATCCCTTTATATTTATTCATGTAGAAAGTTTGTTTCCTTAATTTTATCTTTTGTCAGATTTAAGGATTTCCTAATTATTTTTTGCTCTCTCTTTCTCATATATACTCTCTATCCTTTAACATGTGTTTTTTCTGATGTTACAGAACATAGGCATGTTGGTTCTAATAATTTCAACCTTCTTAGCAGTCGAAGTCATACTATATTCACCCTGGTACTTATCTTTTGCTTAATTCAAACCTTTAAATATATTTTAATAATTTCTTATATCATTAGAATTTTAAACCTTTGCTTGAGCAGAAAGTCTTAAATTATATAATTTCTCCATATGAAATAAAGGCAGAGATAGCAAATTTTTTTTTTTTGCTATCTTTGATAGAAATGATGAGATTTAGTTGGGCTGGGCATTCTGGTTCAAATGCTACAGAGTAGAAAGGAAATTGAAGTGTTTTGAAAAGGGAAAAGGATGTATGTTTTGGAGGAGGTTTTTCTTGGTTGTTCTAGATGATTGATTCTATCTTGACTTATTTATTTATTTATTTGGACAATCTTTTTGAATTTGGTATTGGTAATTCTTCATCATCATCATAAATGATCACTTTGATGAACCTACCTAACTTTGTAAGAATTATACTAGTACAAATTTAGGGATACATCAAATATTACCCAATCAAGGTGTTTTTATATTTGTTCTTTTATTTTATTTTTCATGATTCTTGTCTCACTTAATATTCTATCAACTATCAGACAATTGAAAGCAGTCCACGTGGGGAGAAGAATGGGGAAGAAGATGTGACTTTATCACAGCTGGTAAATACCTTTTATATTATTAGAAGTTAGGATATCTGTGGGTTTACCTATCTTCCTTGATGGTGCTGCTTTTCTGAATAGAGACATCCAATGTCATCCTGGTGTTGGTATCTTTATCTGACGGGAGGGTTTTTTTTTTGGCAGAACTTAATTGATCTTGCTGGATCTGAAAGCTCTAAAACTGAAACAACTGGATTGCGGAGAAAAGAGGGCTCATACATAAATAAAAGCTTACTGACTCTAGGAACTGTAAGACATTGCTGCTCTTTTTGATCTTCTCTTTTCTCATTCTCTACTTTTGGTGAGTTAGGTTAACACTGATCCTACTTTGTTGCATGGTTGCTCCCCCTCCCTTGCCCGTGATATTTTCTTCTTACATAATTCATGTATTCTGCAATTATTTATAATCATAAATCTTATGAAGAACTATTTTGGACAAATTTCCAGTTGGATACACATTTACTTTTGCGTTGGTGCTTCTTGTTGTGGTGTGTTAAAAGTGATAAACTTCTGAACTTGTCATGGCATGATTTCGAAGATTTTGTTCAACCAGGCATATCCGTTACCATGGCTATATGTTTGCTAATGAGCTGGCATATGTTCTCACTGCAAATTTGATCTGCAGATCTCAAGACTTTTTGCTTATTAATTGTCTCTGATTGTAGGTAATTTCTAAACTGACGGATGGTAAGGCAACTCATATTCCATACCGAGATTCCAAGCTCACCCGTTTATTGCAGTCGTCCCTTAGTGGCCATGGACGGATTTCTGTAAGTTCAATTAGTATCTTAGGTGGTTCAGTATTGCTATTATTGGGCATTTTGTGTGATATCTTTGTTTATCACTTTTCCCCCTTTTGAAATGAATGTCGCTGCTGCAGTGATTTTTCGCTTTTCTTTGTCATCATAATTGCATGCTGAAGCATGTTTGTCAATGCTCTTTCTATTCTCAACTTTGTTGCAGCTCATTTGCACAGTGACACCTGCTTCCAGCAGCAGTGAAGAAACACACAACACATTAAAGTTTGCCCATCGAAGCAAACATGTAGAAATCAAGGCTTCTCAGAATAAGGTAAATTCTAGGCTTATTGTTTATTTGTAGTGTTAGATGAAACTTTGTTAGGCAGGCATGTGATTAGTTTTCTTAACCTGTTTAGATTATGGATGAGAAGTCACTTATCAAAAAGTATCAGAAGGAAATTTCCTCTTTAAAGCATGAACTTGAGCAACTAAAGCGGGGATTGATGGAAAACCCTTACATGGCTGCATCTACACAAGAAGATCTGGTTAATCTAAAGCTTCAGGTTTGTTGCTGTTCCTTGAAGACTTTGATAGTCATACTGGTTATTTCTACTGCACACTCCAAAAGTAAGGAAAATTGCTGATATTAACTAAGGCATTATTAGAATCACTTTCATTATGGTGAGTGTTCTTTATTCTTGGTATTCTTAAATTCCAATTTACTGGATGTGCTCCTGAAAATAAAAATAGTTTAATGTAGCCTGTAAGCACCAAAATAGCTGATTTTATTAAGGTGTCATTTCTTGTTATTGTTTCTAATATGCATTTTTTTATGATGTCAAAGCTGGAAGCTGGTCAGGTTAAACTACAGTCAAGATTGGAGGAAGAAGAACAAGCAAAGGCAGCATTGATGGGAAGAATTCAGCGATTAACTAAACTTATCTTGGTTTCCACCAAGAATTCCATGTCATCTAACATTCCTGAAAGGTCTGGACATAGACGGAGGCATTCATTTGGGGAAGATGAGGTGTGTGTGATCTATCATTAGAAGCATGTTTTGCATGATTATGGCTTCCTGATGTTTCACAATCTTAGCTATCATGCCAGTATGTAGAATTAGGCTTTTTGCAGTGAATCATTTCTATGATTCTCTTAACAATTTGAGTTCATGGGTATTATTTCCTCAAATTTACATTTGACACATTTGATGATGCAGCTAGTGTATTTGCCGGATAGAAAAAGAGAATACATAATTGATGATGATGCTGGAAGCTGTGCTTCTGAGCTCTCAATGGAAGGAAGGGATGATGTCACAAATCTGGATGAGTTGGTTAAGGATTATAAAAGGAATAGGCGGCGTGGAATGCTTGGCTGGTTTAAACTAAGAGTGAGTTCTGATATGTATTTCCCTGTTCTTTTGCCTTAAGCATGGGGTGTGAAAGTGGAGATTTATTTTTGGACTATGGTGGTTGTCAAAATGGACAAATGTAGACTGACCATTGTTTTGTTGTTTCAATATTCCTCCACTTTTTATATGTATGCTTCTCTCAAGCTATATTTCCTTTAAACTTATTGCTGTCAACGCCATTCATATCTACCTGTGTGTTTCACCGTGTTACCATTAATTTAACCCTTCCCCCTTCCCCCTTCCCCCAACCACCTCTGCCCTCATCCACCTGTGGCTTTACATCACTAGTCTACTGCTGCGTTCTTGATTTCTTGTAATTAGATATATGCCTTTGTGCTACTGAATTTAAGACTTGGATGACTATGACAATTGATCAATCTGAAACATTTTCATATCAAAGAATGCAATTATGATAACTCTGAATAAATTTATTTATTTCTCACATTTTTTGAATTATAATAATTTTTCCATGAGAGCAGCAGTTGTTATAATTGTTAGAAAAAAGGTGAATCTGAAAAAGTTGAAAGCATTCCTCATAACAAGTAACTGAGAAAGGATTAAGAAGGATTCGAAAATGGAAATTAAAAGTTCACTGTAATCTTTCTGTCTTGCTCCACGTTGTATTTGAATATGGAAATAAAGGAAAACTCAAACTACGTGCTTCTAGATATTTTTTTCTTTCGGTTTTTCTAAAATTTTTGTTTTTAGCATCTTTGATTTTGTACTTGGAAATTCAAACTAACTAAACTAAACTAATCAATGTCTTTGAGAATATTCCTCTGTAGAAACCTGAGAATCTGGCTGGACAGTCAGTGAGTGCTGATAGTGGGAGCTCTGCTAGTGGGTCTCCTGCATCTTGTTCAAAATCTTTGCAAGACAAAGTCACATTTAATGATACAAAAGATGTACGGAGAAAATCAGTTAGTAGGAGAGGAGATGATCCTGCAATTATTGATTCATTTCCAGAAAGAACTCAAGCTGGTGACTTGTTTAGTGCAACTGTCGGTGGTCGTCGTTTGCCTTCAGTAAGAACACTTATTACTTTTTTCCTTTTTTTTTTCATTTATGATTATCCAAGGTGGCAAGTGATGCAGCATGAAAAGAAGCTGCTGGAACTCAAGATTTTATTTTGTACTTTTGTTTTATTTATTTTTCAGTGTTATGCTTGATTTCCAAGTACTAGGGCCTTAGCATCATATTTGGTATTCTGCATTTCTATTACGATTTAGCTATAGTTGCCTTCATCAAATTCCATCTGACAGATATAACTTCCATTGCAAAGGTCAGTAGTTGAAAAATGATAAAGCTGATACTTCAACACATGAGATGAAGGAGCTAAAACTGAAACTTTTAAATCAAACTAATTAGAAAACAAATTTGGCAGGACAACCTGATGGTTTTTACCTTGTGATCCATACAGGGTTTATATGACCTAGAAATTTAAAACTTCAGCATGAGCTAAGAAAGCTGTAATAGAATAACTTGGAGAAGCATTATAAGATGTAACTTATAAGAGAAACCAGGATTTCTTGATGGGTGGTATCCTTCTCTCTTAAATATATTCAATCACGTTGTCTGTGGGAATCTGATTGTCCTAATTTGTTTTTTTAGGTTTTCTACATTTGTGCATTGAGGCTGTTGGTTCAAGGATATGCTTTTACTCAAGTTTACTGCCTTTTCTTCTACTATGTTTTGTTAAGATTATGCATAAGAGTGCCAAAAAATTATGTACATGTACATTGTTTGAGATTTTCAAAAGAAAGCCCGAACTTGTGTGGTGGTTATTTGAAATTAACTTGTTAAGATTCTTTCCCACTGTTGCATATTTTTGCATGGTAATGTAATACATTTTTTTTGGTACAGTTGCTTTCGTTCTGGTCCTTTGTGGGGTTTAAATAAACCTTTGCTTACTTAAGTTCTTGTAAATAAATTTTCTCACTATCGTAATTGTGAAAACTAACGCTCCTTCTGCTCATATTTTGGGGTTATTCAGATAACATGTAAATAAGTGCTATAGCCTATAAGTTATTGCTCAAAATGTTATATTAACTGGGATTGCTGAATGCACTTTCCAGAGTGGGACCACTATTACGGATCAAATGGATCTTCTTCAAGAGCAGATGAAAATGCTAGCTGGAGAAGTCGCATTGTCTATTAGTTCTCTGAAAAGGCTGTCAGAGAAAGCGGCTAGCAGCCCTGATGATTCACAGCTTAGGGTGAGCTACACATTATACTCAGCACCTTATGAGAATTTCTAAATTTAATGGGCAATAATCAATGACTCACAATGTTCATATTGGTTAATACAGGAGCAAATGCGGAAGTTGAAGGATGAAATTAGTGAAAAGAGGCATCAAATACGTGTTTTGGAACAACGAATGATTGGATCAGCTGAGAAGACTCCACAAACATCAAATAGTGCTGAAATGTCACAGGTAAGCATGCATCAAGTAATGGATTGGTATGGACAGAAATGAGAGAAATTGATGGAATCAACAAATAGAAAATTAAGCTTTGAACACTTAGATGGTTAAATCCCAGAATTTTTGGGTGATGCAACCACATTGTGCAGAGAAATTTGCCTAGTATTCACATTGGGTATTTCCAATTTAATCCACAACTTTCCATGTCAGTTGGTGGAAGAAATGTGCAACATTCTATTAGCCCTGTGCAGTTGTGTGAATAACTTCTGCTTTTGAGGTTAATTCTATCTCACTTTTTTTAAAAAAATAATCTTTCAAATTTTCTGTTTTATTATGTTTAGAAGTTTCAATAAAACTTCTTTCTGTCTGACAGTGGTTTTATGTTATAGTGAGGATCGAAATGAAAGATAACAAATTACAATGCTTTGACTTTTGATGGCCAAAAATAAAATAATAAACCGCTGTTTTCTTTTTAATATTTTTTTGTGGGGTGTGATGGGGGGTTAGTAGGTTGTAATATATCATTTGTTTGTTGCTCATTCTCTCTGAGGACTTTTTCTTTTTGGCCCCTCTTTCTTGCTGATTCAGTTTATGACTCTCTAATGTAGGCTCTGTCAAAGCTTACGACACAGCTAAATGAGAAAACTTTTGAACTTGAGGTTCGTTATTCTATTTCCTTGGTTGTCGTGGTAATGGTATTTTAATGTCAAATGCCATGAATATTATACTAATTTGAGTGCTTGTTATGGAATGTCTATTTAAGATCAAGTCAGCAGACAATAGGATACTTCAGGAGCAACTTCAAAGGAAGGTAGAATTTCTAAAGTTGCATTTTCTTCCCCCTTCTTTATTATTTTAGTCTTTGTATATTAAAAATAATCTTTGATTCTCTTAATAGATATCGGAGAATGCTGAGATGCAAGAAACTATTCTTCTACTAAGGCAACAGCTGAATTCATTAACAGATAAAAGCTCCAGGATTCCAAAAGAAAGTGCAGATAATGAGGCCAGCCCAGAAAAAACTTGTTCTGAGGAATTATTACAGAACAATGATGGGAAGAATGGAATTGGTTCATGCAAAGAAACTTATGGTGATGATAATACACCAACTAGTGTCATAAGCTTGAATCGAGTATTTTCCCAGGAGGACTCCAAAGAGTGTGACAAAAATACCTTGTTGAATTCCCAAGTTCTTATTCAGGTTATTCCTCCTTTATTAATTCTGGCATCTTAAGCGATATGAACTCAGAATGCTACTTTTGTTCTCTGCTTACTGAAGGGAGGCGTAATAGCTAAACACTCTTCCTTGAAGGGTTTTACTCATGTGTTCAACCTGTTTATTTTCTTAGGCTGCTGAGATAGAAGGCCTGAAGCAAGAGAAGGTGAAATTAACGGAAGAGAAGGATGGGCTTGAAATTCACAGTAATAAACTGGCAGAGGAAGCTTCATACGCAAAAGAGTTGGCGGCAGCAGCTGCAGTTGAACTTCGAAACTTGGCTGAAGAAGTAACCAGGCTTTCGTATGAAAATGCTAAACTGACTGGTGAACTGGCTGCTGCAAAAGAGGCACGCTGCAGATCCAACTGTTGTCAGAGGACTGCTCCACATGATTTTAGACAAAATAACATGGGTGGTGCTTGGCCTGATGGTCGTCCCAGGAAACAAGAGAATGGAATTCTCATTGAGGAGTTGCAGAAAGAACTTAACACGAGAAACCAAAGGGAGGCTGCCCTGGAAGCTGCACTTTCTGAGAGAGATCAAAAAGAAGGTGATTTGCGAAGAAGAATTAATGAATCAAAGAGACGTGAGGAAGATCTGGAGAATGAGCTTGCCAAAATGTGGGTGCTTGTGGCAAAGATGAGAAAACCTGGTGTTAATGCTGAGGACATATTATCAAATATTTCGCAAACAGGAGAAAGAAATGGGCTTTTGCCATCCAATGATCACTCATTTAAATTGTTCAAAGAGGAAGAAAATGGTGAAAATTTACATGGGATGAAAACATATGAAGAGTTAAGAGCTTGCTATCAGGAAGAAAGGAGAAGATGTGGAGAACTAGAAAGGCTTGTTTCCAGAATGAAGGTATGTTATTTCTTGATCATGATTTGAAGAAATGAACTCATATGTTTATTTTCTCGTGCCAGTTTATAGTTGTTGATGTTTCTTCAATTATAAATCTATCTTTCTGCCATCTGGTTGGCTTCTATAAAAGGGTTCAGCCCCAATATGAGTATAAAAGTAGTGTTCATCTTCCAAGCCAGTGAGGAAGCTATAAGATATATGAGTGCAGTTCTTATGGAAATTGATCCTGGCATGGGATGAATGTTCTAAGCAGTGAGTCGACGAACCAATTGGCAATGGGTGGAGAGGACAAACCTCAATAAACAAACCCCAAACTTAACTGCTGTGGATAAATACCACTTAACACTCTTAATTCCTCTGTAAGCCCAATACTGTCATCTGAAGTGAATGGTAGAAACAAACAAGTTAGGTTTTAGTATTATGTTAAGCATTCAACCTACCTCAACCTTAATCGATTTATGATAGGATAGCACCGCGTAGTGAATGCTGATGGAGTCTTTTATGCTTCTTAAATTTCTTGTTTCTTTCTTTTTGCTCTTCCTTGCTCTTTTCCTCGATTATTTGGATCATTACTGAAATGGAAATTGTATCAATTGTTGGTGCTCTAGTTTCAGTTATATAAGCCTGATATTGAAATGCCACGTTCCAGATTTTGTTTGATCTTGTGCATCTTAGGACCACCTTTTTATATTTCTGAAGTTTGACATAGGCCTACTTAAGTACCAATGTAGCCTGTTAGTGAAGCTGAAAGTTGAGCTGCAGCTTTATTTGTGTGTTTTATGGTATTGGCTATTCTAAATGAGTAGGACCACTCAATATATATGGTGTAACTGTTCTAGTGTCTGCTATTTAGTTGAATTTGTTTATTGTGTAAGTGTCTTGAAATGGTTATGATTTATATTTTTTTTTGGTAGATTTTTAAGTCCCATCCAGACCTATGAAACAAAAATTGTGTTAGAAAAGCTTAAAATCTAAACTGATCAACCCTCTTTTCCAGGGTGAAGATATCGGTGGTTTGGATGTTACAACACTTGAAGAACTACAGAATTTTCATGTTGACGCTATAACGAAAATCTGCCATGCAAAGGTTATATCACTTTATACACTTTCTGGAAATGTTTCTATATTACAATAATTGCCATTCTTTTTATGTTCCTTGGTATAACTTCTTTGGTATTATACCTAACTTAGCTAGTCCTGATATTGCAGCTACACGTATCTTAGTTGCGTGATGATTTAGTAATCTGTCATTCATCGCAATAATTAGCTGAATAATTATCTTCATGAATAATCCAATGACATTTCGAATGCTTAATATCGGTGTTGCAATAAGCAATTTAAGCTTTTAGGGAGCTGTGAAGAGGATGTAAAATTTAGCAATATCATGCATAATAATATCTTTTGTGATTCTATAGTATTTCCTTTTCTTTCTCTAATTTTGGCTCTTTCACTTTTGCAGTGTGCAAATTATATTTTGTAGCATGCAGAGTTTAACCGTTCACAGAGGATCTTGCTTATGATTTTTCCAACCATCAAGGTCAGTATTGATGCATTCCTTTTTCCCATTGTATTGGGAAAATTTAAATTAGCTTTCGTTGACTTCATGAAAGAGGAGAGAAAAGAAAAGGGGTTGGGGGGCAGGGGAGTATCACGTGCAAACTGCCCAACTAAACTACACTCAATTGAGCATCAATCATATGTGAAATAGAGTATATAATTTTTCATTGTTTTTCTACAAGAGTGTTTATAAAGGTGCTTACCAGCTTTGAATTAAATATTAGTCGATGCATCACTGCATCTATGTGCTTGATATAATCATTCATTTTATTATTCATACGACAAATTATCTATGTATATATTCATATATCCATGGGTATTTCAAATATCTGCAGTAAAAGGTCACGAATTTTGCTGAATATCGAGGATATATAGAGTAATATCGATGGTATTTCAAAAAAATATCTATGAAACTTTCGATTAATGAATAATTTTACTGAGGATTTTAGCTGAGTATAACCATAGAACAAAACTCAATTGGTTATGAAATCAGAATGATATCAAGTACTAATAGTTGGTATGATGGTCTTTATGGGTTACATAACCATGAACAATCAATGCACATGTTGAACATCCACCATATTCTCATATTGGAAAGCAAACTTTTGAATATGATCAACCAATTAAATTACATGTGGATTATAATCAGTTTCCTTTACCTGGATATCAGGTTCATGTTAGCCGAGTCAAATATTGTTGCGCAGAATTATTTAACCGGTTATCAAAATGTTATATATGGATTTCAATATTATGAAATAACTCACCATACCAAAGAAAGTGAAAGCTCAATTTGTGATATTAACTTCCAAGGAATTCAATGTGGTGTTAGGTATTATTAATAATATTTGGTGTTATTGAAAATCAATATTTTACAAATTTATTCAATTTTTTTTTATTTCTTGTGTAAATTATAAATAATATATTAATCTTGATTGTATATATTTTTCGCAGCGTACATATTTACCAATGTACTTTGTAGCATTTTAGTATGCAGTCATTCTTATCTTATGACTTTAAAATATGTATAATTATATATAAAAATAAATATATGCTAAAATTTCATTTCAAATTTTCAACATTTACTAAAAGTTTCCATCGTTTTTTCCTACTTTTTATGAACATTTGTTAATATTTTAAATCTATGGATATATTTGTAGTTTAGAGTCTGGAGGACCGTATATGAATAACACATCGATATCTAATTCCTGGCTTATCAGACCTCAGCCAGCAAGCTTTCACCTTCGGGCTCCATGAATATGTATTTCTATGTCTGTAGAGTATTTTCACCATGACCAGAGGGCTTATTAGATGACTCCCAAGTCAAATGCTTGAAAACTACGATTGAAGGAGGTTGATGGAAGAGATTAGTGTAACTCAGTATCATAGCCTCCTCAAGTAGATGTTCATGATTCTTTAAAACCTGGAAACTACATATGATTGGGTTAGTCACACCATAATAGGGTCATAAACAGTTCATCCACAAACGCACTACTATGTTTATCCTCATATGTCTTTTACAGCATTAATCTGATGGATTACACTGTTGCTAATCTTGCTGATGTTACGCAGGTTTAACGTATTCTTTACATAATGGGAAATATTAACCAAATTGAGTCATTTCTGAGACGGCTTCTTTCTACCAATCATCATAATTCTGTGGACAAGCATGCATCGTTTTCCATATCGGAAATCCGTGTAGCTAACTTGCAGCAGAAATGCCAGAAAACATGTCAAAAGTTTTCCAGGTTATGTTTGAATTTCTTCTGCTAAAAATATTTGTATTACCTTTGTATCTGGGATAATACCCATTTACATCTTATACCTTGTAGGTTACAAAAAGAGGAACTGTTCGAATGTAGTTCTACAAGCAAACAAATGTATGTATATGCTACATCTGATAGTATGAAGTTGTTTTGCTTTATCTTTTACTATATCAGAGCTCCCTTTTGTGAACCCGCATGTTGCTCTTGCTGGAAGCTTGTGTTGCGGGATGATTCTCTTCTAAGATACCAAAATTGGCTGCATATGGTTGTTGAATATCTTCGTTATAATCACTGTCCAAACTGTTAACAAACAGGAGGAAGAACAAAAGAAAAAAAACACACTGGTAAGAAAATGGTGAATGCAATTATAAAGACGAATAGCAAATGCTAAGAGAATGAAATGGTTCACGACTTGGGAAGCCTATCACAATTTGCAGACACCCATCCAATCTGCTGCTTCTCGTTGTCATAAACTACCATTTTGTCCTGCAATGAGATGTCTGAGGAGCAAAAAGATGAACGAGGAATGGTTAGCCCAAAGTAAGGAAGGAAAGCATGGACCCTGTCTCTTCTCTATTGTTTCTAACCTCCAATTATGTTGAAGTCGCCCAGTCCCGCTTCTGTGCCATTCAAGACTCCTAAGCATGCATTTCCATGTTCCTGCGATGGATGAGCATGTTAGATGTGTCGCTGCACACGTGCTTGCTTGCTCATATCATATTGCTTTGAAAATCGTTGATTAATCCATTGCTCACCGTGACAATAAGATAAGCTTCAGGTGGTAACTGTAACTGAATATTCCTGGTGTTTGTAAAGCTCAGTGTCAAGCTGCTGAAATAGTTCTTGACATCATGAACAGATTTGAAAGGTTTTGGGCCTTTCCAGCAGATTGGAAGAGCTTGATCGTGCACTGTATTCAATGGCTTCCCCGTTAACCCTCTGCTTACCTGTAACATGCAATTTTGGATCAGTCCCTTAAACAAAGCTTCAAGATTTCTCTCAACAGGGGAGCACTCCTACTGATTTTCTTACCAGATCAAGTACAGCTTCATAAACTCGCAAGCAGAAGTAAGTGTAGGAACTCCCACTGTCAAAAACTATTTTTAGGTTCTTTATACCAGTAGGTTTTCCACCAAAAAGGAGTTCTGCTGGACTGGACAAATAATGCTTACTGAAATAAAATAACCCAAAAACAGAGAACAAAAGTTAAATGGTAAGATGAAGTTGCAATGGAAGGAAAGCTAGTGGATATAATAATGCTTACACGCCGTCTGACATGGGCATCCAAACAATTCCTGAAGAAGGGACAAGATCATATCCTAGGAACAAGTATCCTCCACCTTTCCCGCTTAAACAATGGCCTATTACATTTCTTATTAGATCGAAGCTTTGCAGCTGTGACAAGATGCTTGCTTTGCCATTGCCAAGCGCGAGGACTCCAGCTGTTGAAGGAGGAGGGTATGGACCAGGATTCTTCACATCATAAGCGCATCTATAGAAAAAGGATAAGAAAAGATGACATGCGGTTATTAGGAAGTGAGTACTTCTGTCAAAGCTGAAGCCATTTCCACAGATCAGGACACTCCTTTCATGGTAGAATCGACAGTATTGCCAAAACTGAAACTTCAAGGTTGCTAAGTTTATAAAGAGAGCAAAAATACACCCACCCAAACGTCAAACGGGGACGAATAAGGGAGCCATTCGTAAGTCTAAGGGAAAAGAGGTCAGTGACCATCACACCAGTAACTGAACCATGATCAACATACTCGACCTCAAAGTCACATTGGTCATCCGGTGTCTCACATTGAGGACTTCCTGGGAAGTGAACCGCACCACAGGAGGGATGCTCACAGCGTACAAGCACATGTTTTTTAGGCTTGTAAAGATCATTGACGGGCTATAAAGAGACAAGGACATAACAAGAGATAAGCAAGGACATGGTAGGAATCAACACCTAGTCACAAATTTACCTTGGTGCAACCGTTGCAAGGTGCATCACATTGGACCCAAGTGAGGTCACTGCCTGTATCAATATCAAACTCAAAAACCTTGGGTGGATGGCCTATGCTAAGCGACAAAGAGTAGTACCTGCAGATTGTTTCAAGGAAAGCAAGAATTCCTTGATTTTCAATCATTGGAGAGAAGGGTAAAATAAATACTATCAAAAATTTTATAAACAGAACTATACTATTATAAGAGACAAGATTGTTCATTGAAACCATACTCCCATAGGCCCTGAGTTTTGATTTCATCAATATGATGATACAAGATATCATATTAGAGAATCCAAAGGAGAAACATTTCAAGAATTCTTCTCAAAATTTATACTACAAACTAAAAAGAACACAGTAGAGAAAGGCAAGACAAGAACTAATCAAGTGATACTCAAAATCCCCAGTAGAAAACAAGACTCAGAAGAAAATCAGCAAGAATCCCAGTTTCACAAACAAAGCTACACATGCAAGAAAACAAAGTATCATAAAACTAACATACTTGAAGAAAGCTAAAGATTGAGCAAGAAAATATAAACAAACTTACACTTCAAAAAAACAATGGAGACGAACTTACCCGAAAGGATAAACATTTCCAGTAAGAGGAAAAAGAACAGATGAACCAAACCCATTAGCAACTTTTGGATGGGTTGACTTTTTCTTGTTGGGTTGCTGACTGTCAGATGAGAAACACCCTGGGAAAGTTGCAGGCAACACTAGAAAGAACATCATCATCCATGGCACTGTTGCTTTCATTTTCTTCACATCCATCTTTTATGGTTGAGCAAATCTTTTGTAACAATCGAAAAATACGTTGGATTATTGGGAATCTAAGAAACTATAAAAGGGAAAAGAGGAAAAAGACTGTTTTGTTTGGATCAAAAAGAGAGTTTTGAGAAAGAAAATATTCAGGAGAGAGATTTAAGTCTGATTGGCCGGGTTCGGACTCTGGGTTTTAGTGCATTTAATAGACGCGAGTCTGCAACGTCGGACAGCGTCCACCTGTTTTTCACCATTAAAATTAATTCTTATTTTATACAGATAAAATGGTTTTTGTAACCTTGTGGAAAATGAGAAAAAACAGGTTTTTGGGAAATGCCAAAGTTTTAATTAGATTAGGAATCAATAATTATTATAAATAAATCAAATTTACTCCTAATTTCTACTTAATTTAACGGTTGTTACTCTTTTTTAATATAATTGAAATTTAATGTTTATATTTTTTGTTTAAATTAAAATTTAAAAACCCGTTTCAAAATTATATTTCAATTTCAATACATATTTAACTTTAAATAATCTTTTTTTGCATGTCGCAAAAAAATTTTTTAATTTTTTTACATGTACTTTTTTTTTGCATGTTAAAGCCAAAAATAATTTTTGTTTAGTATAAATTCTCTACATTTATTCAATTCATTTTCATTAATAAAAATTAATGGAGTTTTACCAAGTTGATTCCGAATAAAAGGATTATAAAGAGAAATTAGTAAGACACATCTACAAGAAAGCTTTTTATTTTTCTTTTAACCTAGAAATATATTGTTGAACATTTTTAATACTAGTAAAAATGGGCTCATGTTGGATAAACAAAAAAAAATCTTCAAATAAAGAGTATAATAAATTTATGTAATTGGACTAAAATGGGTTAAGATGTAAATTAAACCATGATTAGAATTTTTTTAAATCTTATTTTTTTGCTTTTAAATTATATAGTAGATTGGTTTCATTAATATAAAATATAATCATTAATGGAGTTTTAATATGATCCAGATTTATCATCTGTAATTCATTTACACTTATCAGTGAAGATGAACAATAACACAGATTTTGAAGTCATTTCATTGTTTTTTAATTTTGTGTACTAACATGTATAGTCGAAATTGTCCCTTAATATTTAATACGGACTCGGGATTGGCAAGGGCAAAGTTGGTCTGTTGAACTTTTGGGTAACAAAAAGAAGAGCACACGTGTGGGGTAAGAATTAAGAGAAAAGAAATGGTGGGTCCACAGATTTGATCCTTGTCATCTTCCTTGTTTTCTTTTTCCCATTTGCAAATCTGGTCCATTTCTATGATAACAAAATTCTCAATCACTGAATTTTCACATGATAGGAAACTACCGAATACTTAAAAAAGTCTATGGAGAATAACCAATGGCAAAACAGTAATGAATATATAAGAGAAAGTTCATTAAGAACTCTTGTCATGAACATTTTTAATTGTGGGAATGATGCTTCCTTCCTCTGAAAAATGTGTAAAAGGGAGATGGGTCCTTGCATTTGAAATGATTGATATCTTTTTCCAGCTTAAAAGAAGAGAAAGAGACACAGAGAGAGAGAGAAGGCCAGAGCCATCAGGTCCCAACACCTTTGTTTATTTCTGATACACTCATTTTGATTACCTTTGAGGTAACCCAAAGTGGAGGAGTTGGGAAGTTGAAATGATGAGTGCAGAAAGTCTATCAAATCATTGTAAGGGTGTTTGTGACTGAGAGACCATTGTACCTGGATCATACTTTTTAAGCCTTTTGTTCTTCAAATATACCAATATCTATTACTAGAGGGAACAGAAAACAGAGATTTTAGTAGTGCATTCTACAAGATGCATGGATATGAAACTTTCTAAAGCTAACTTGCAGCGTAAGATATATCAAAGGGCATTGTGAATGTCTTTTGTAAAAGCCATTGGTATTGCCTCCATCATAGTTCCAATAAGATACCCGCTTACATTTTTCAACCCTTGTGTATTATCAAAGAGAAGCATCATGGTAATGAGCCTTCTTCTACAACTAAACAAAAAGTACGTACCCTCAGTTGAAGAATGAAGCTATTTTTTTGGCCTTATACTTTATTCAGTCATTTCATTTAGTTTTTCTTGCATGATACAAGAGAATAGGTTCATAATCATCGAGGCTTGCGAGTACAATCTGCAGAAGCCCATCCAATCCTCTGGTTCTCATTATCATATATCACCAGTTTATCTTGCAATGAAATGTCTGTACAGCATCCCCACAAGGAAAATTTGGATTGCAAGGAAAGGCGAACAAATTAGAAACTCAGAAGCAAAATGACTGATCAAGCTATATGCAAAACTAAAAACACTCTTACCTCCAATCACATTGGTAATTCCTAGTCCAGCTTCAGTGCCACTCAAAATTCCTAGGCAAACATTTCCTCGTTCCTGAGAAAAATGATCTTCTTATATTGCATTCTCTTTTTAACTCCACAGAACTGTACATTTAGTTTTGATTCTTTGAAAACCAAAACAATTAATGGTTTCCAGAGGTACTTACAGTGACAATGAGATAAGCTTCAGGTGGTAATACTAGCTTATTTGCACCGGGAAAACTCAGCACCAGCGTGTTAAAATAGTTCCTAACATCTCGCACAGATTTAAAAGGTTTTGCACCTTTCCAGCAGATTGGCAGAGCGTTATCTTTCACATCTCGTAGTTGCTTTCCGGTTAGATCTTTCCTTATCTGAAAAATGATGTGAGCAATCAGTTCTGGTAATGTGTTTGCATTCATAAGGTTTTGTGCATTGATGTTTGTTTTTTATGTCTTACCAGATTGAGTACAGTTTGGTAAACTTTAGAACTCAAGTAAGTGTACGTGGCTCCAGTGTCAAAAATAACATCAAGGCCCTTTACACCAGTAGGCTTCGCACCAAAAAGAAGTTCTGCTGGACCAGAAGAATAATGTTTACTGAAACGAAACCAACAAGAAAGAAACACACGTTAGAGGTAACATGGAACTGGTAAAGAAGTAAAGAAAATATAATCTGATTGTGCTTACTTAAAGGAATTTTTCAACATTGGCGTCCAAGTCATTCCTGATTTAGGGACGAAATCAGCTCCAAGGAACAAAAACCCTCCCCCTTGTCCACTGAAACAATGACCTACCACATTTTTTGTTATACCCATGCCACTCAATTGTGATGAGATGCTTGCTTTACTTTTGCCAAGTCCAAGGACTCCAGCAGTGTTAGGAAGAGGTTGTGGACCATGATTTTGTAGACGATATCCACATCTGCAGATGAGGAAAAACACAGTATCGTTAGTTATCATGGAAGTGAATGTATCTATAAACACAATACACAAACTGTACAAATTTCAACATTTTACTTCGAAAGCAAGCCATTTTTAAAATTGACAAAATTCTGAGTTATTGATACGGTTGAAATCACTTCTGAAATTCAAAGGTTGTAAATTAAGAAGAAGTGTTGGAAATTCCCACCCAAAGGCCAAAAGGGGATTAGAAAGGGAGCCATTGACAAGGCCCAGGGGAAAGTTGTCTGAGACCATGACACCAAGAACTGAACCATGGTCAGCATATTCAACTTGAAAGCCACATTTTTCATTTGGATTCTTGCATGGATTTGATTTTGGAGAGTTAAGTGCAGCACACATGGGATCCTTGCAAGGCAGAAAGTTGTTCCTAGCGGGCTTGTAAAGACGGTCACGAGGCTGCAAAAAGGAAGATAAAGGCATCATAAGAACCTAGCATTCTTTGTTTTTTTCTTGCAAATCATTCTAATGCTATGATCATATTGGAGTAAGAAATTTACCTGAGTGCAACCACTACAAGGAGCATCACATTGGACCCAAGTGAGGTCGCTGCCAGTATCAATATCAAGCTGAAAAGGCTTAGGTGGGTTGCCTATCTTAAGTTCCACAGAATAGTACCTGACAATTGACAGAAATGGGAATTCCATGAACTTCAGCGGTTGTCCTTTAATATGTAGATAAAAAGAGAGGGCAAACCAAGAGTGAACTCAAAGTCATATCATCATGGAAAATTCAATTTTATTGCAATCAAATTGGAAAATAACTACAAACCCAAGAAATTAATTATACCAATAAGAGGAGATAAGAGAGGAAAATTTGGAGGAAAAAAGGAAAACATCTTTAAGAAATGTTATCAACTTATCATGGGGAATTGGTACCTAGAATTTGGCCAAGGAATCCAACTTGGAAGGTCAAAGGGATAATGAAATTATCTGAAAGATTAAAAACATACGAGAGAAGGAAAACAAAGAGGATTTAAGGTATCTCAGTGAAACTACAGACAGATCCAATGAACCCTGAAATTTACCAAGAACAGAACATGAAATCAAATTTAGAGAATGTAACGAGAAATACTTCAAATATTGTGCAACAAGTTCAAGAAAATTGCATAACCAGAAAAAGAAAACAAAGAATCAATTCAATTGGCATAAACAAAATTTAACCAGCATCTTTATCAGTGATCAAATTCAGAACAAAGCAGCATATAGAGAAACCAAACCATGTACCAAACAAACTTAGAAAGAACAAAAAAACTCAAAATAAACAAAACCAACGTTTAAAAAAACAGAAAAGGCAGTACCCAAGAGGATAGACATTGCCAGAAACAGGAAGGAAAACAGAGGAGCCAAAACCATTAACAACCGCTGGATGGACTGTACTCCTCTTCCATAGTGGCTGACCTTGACCGGTTGCTGCATAACAGCCATGTAAATGTGCAGAGAGAACCTGAAAGACGAAAACCATGATCATCAATGACGCTCGTTTTCCTTTCATTTCCTGGCCAGCCATCTCTACTAAGGATCAAAAACCCACAAAGAAATCTATTGCAAAAATCAAAAGAAAGAATTTTTGGAATCAGAGGCCAAAAGGGTACTTAAAAGACCATTTCTTTTCTGATGAAAAAGAAATAGAAAAACACAAAGCCCCTGAGAACTTCGTTGGGAAGGTGTGAAGGTGACTTCTTGGCTGAAGACTAGGCTCCTTCTTGTGTAGGCGCGCGCTTTTCAATTTTATTTTCTTTTTCCTTTTTCTTTAAATAAGTTTTGAAAGTTTATTTCAGCTTAGAGTTTTAAATAAGCTGTGTCTGGTCAAGGAGTTTCGGATAGGGTTTGGAATCTTCCTCTGGAGTTGGTAGCTTCAGTTCCAGTTTCCACTTCTTACGCGGTTTGGGTATGGGCAAAATCGGTATTGTACAATGATTTTGGTTTTGATCGTGACAAAATGGAGATGACATTGAAATATGTGGAGGGTAGGGTCATCTGGATCGGCTGCTTTGCGCGTTGGTCTTTGGTCTTTAACTTGGGGAGTAAGGAGCTTGGGTTTGGGACTTTGGGAGTTGACTCGGTAGACTGACTGCCTGTCTTATGATTTTTTGAGATTTTGCTTTGGGTTCAATTATAAGTGTAGTTAAATGGCAGAATCAATGAACTCCGTCACACTTTTACCATAATGTTTACTGGTTCCAACAATCAAATGTTTAAGGATTTTTTTGGTTTAAGAGATGAAAAAATTGCTAAAATAATTCGAATTTGGAAGTGAATTCAATATTTTTTATTCAAATTATTTAAATCCATAGCTAAGAGGTAATAAATCCTTTTTTTTTGTTTTTTATTTTTGGAGAATTGGAGATTTTTATATATATCTTTTTCAGGATAAAAACGCGTTTGTTTTATTAAAAAAAATGATAATTTATGAAAATGAAAAACCCTCCTGAAAAAGCAAAGTAGAATGGTCAAGATTATAGAGCAAGTGCAATTTCGAAGAAATTAACTCCAGCTGCAAGGGCAATCCTTGACAAAAATGGCAAACAATAATGCATCCATGCACACATTTTTCCAACTATTTTCACGAGTTTTGCTACTAATATTTTATGGAAAACCCTAATCCCACGTTACCCTAAAAACAAATCGAAATGATAGGATGGAGAAAATAATTGAATTGAGATGTTCATACGAAAGAGTGAAATAGAGAATCATGCCATTGAATTAAGAAAACTAATGGGAAAAGAGAGAGTGGTGGGTGGATCCTTTTGCTCAGTTTTGTGCGAAAGGAATATTCGTTTATTTCAATTGTCAAACTACCATGGGCCTTGTGAGAAATTTGGAAACTTTCTCTATTTAATAGTAGTAATATGGAAGGTCCTTGAAGGTAATACCTAGGATTTACAAAGCTATGTTTTCTTGATTAGGAGCTAGGATTAAGTCTTAATCCACCTATAAAGTAACTCACCGCACCAAATTACTTGTCCATTTTATCATGTTCAAGAAAAGCATCAAGTTAAACTTATCATAATCAAGAAGGGAATCTTTCCATCTTTATACAAACTTGTTTCATTTAATGGAAAATAATTCAAATTTGACATATTGAATAAAAAATATATACATTTATTATTAAATTAAATGATATATGATCAAAATTCCTATATATATATATATATAAAGTACTTATACCAGGTCTTGGTTATAAGTCTGATTATTAGGGGGTTTCCCCCTAAAATAAGCCTAATCTTCACCCAAAATGAAAATTGAATAATTTGGCTATAGAAGTTGAACCATAATCACCTATTATGATGCATGCACCTTACTCTTTTAGTGAGCCCATGTTATCATTTGCTCTTGTTTTTTCTTTTCTTTCAGAGTCGTGGGTTTTGTGCTTCAAAGTCACATGCAGCGCTATAATTAATAGCTGAAAGTCATCAAGCCAATACTATTAAACTATTTGCTAATTTCATCGAGGTTCTTTTTCCAATATGCTATGCTATCTTGTCCATGTGTCACGAGACGATTCTTAAGACCACCTTCGTGTGGCCTTGGATTCAGCCCTTAGCTCGGCAGTAGAACCCAAGTCAGCCTTACTCACCCGACAAGCGCTCAACACCCGCACAATGGCTTTAAGCCGGCAAGCAAGCTTGCATAAACAAGGAAGGAAAAATGGGAAGAGAATGCTAGAGAAAAACTAAACTCTTTATATTGAATGAATTGAAATACAAAGGATGCAAGAATGGATGATTTACACAATGGTGGATGGGGCTATTTATAGCCAAGGTTCCCCACCCACTTTTCCCTCCAAAGTTTTTAATTCAAAGTATTCCCCCCAAAAGATTTCCCTCCAAAGTTTTCAATTCAAAGTATTCCCCCCAAAAGATTTCCCTCCAAAACATTTGGGAGGTTCTAGAAGTTCGGTTGGGAGGGAAAATTTGAATTTTCCAGCAGCCCCCCCTACATGGGTCTAGTGGGCTGGCACCCTCTTGGGCCTCCTGGCGGGTCCGGACTGTGTCACCTCTTGGGCCTCCTGGTGGGTCTGGACTGTGGCCCGTGACACATGCATCTTAATTTCAAGGTCAAGGAATATAATAGTTTAATATTCTGATCTGCTACCTTATTCATGAATTCCTTGCTTGTCTGAAATTGAGTGTGCCATATGAAGAAAATAAACACAGAGAGGATGAATCTAAGTTAAATCGATTATTGGGTTTAACAATTTACTTGTATCCGCAAGGTGTGTGAATTTAATTAAATATATAATAAAAAGATATATATATATATATTATGTACTCATCATGCATGTAAAGTTTCAAGTTAATTCGATATTCTTATTAAATTAATTAATTGAGAATACGACATTTTTTAATATATATTTAATGGTGGAAATTTTATTGTATCAAACAAAAAGTTAAATATTTTTAATTAATTTAAAATTTGACATTTTTAATTTGCACGAATAGACATTAAGATTCAACAGTTGTATTAACTAAATATAAATCGTATAAAAAATATAAAAAACTATAAAATTAAATTAATTTTACATCAATATAAGTAGATTATATATATATATATATATAACTCCGATATATTATGAATTTTTCAATACTTAAACAATTAGGGCAATTTTGTTGTCCACTTTTCATAATATTTTTTTATTTTTTAAAAAATTATCATTAAGTCAAATTTTGTTCGGTTACTTCCAAAATCAATTTAAGTAGTTGGCTTTGACCATCACATGCAAAAGTTGGATTATGTTAAATATTGAAATTTCTGTGTGTTACAAGCCATATCATTAGGTAAAACTTTTATAATTCATCCTGTCACATTGTTTTATTCATATTATGAAATGCAATATCCGCCCCTTAAAAAATAAAAACAAGGAAGAAGTAAAATAGGCTAGGCTGCCGATATCTCTCGGTAACGGCTTCTGCTAATAAAAGGGGTTTAGACAACCCCACAATTAAATATTTGGTTAATTAAGCATGCAATTTCTGGTGGATATGGTAAGTCTATGTCCTCCCTCTTCTTCTTCTTCTTCTTCTTCTCCTTGCGATTCCGCCCTTTCTTTCTCATGGTAGATCATCTCCGAGAATGTGCCTCCATTTCTAATCAAAAGAAGAAAGGTTTCAGCCTTCGGGACCTTACCCAACTTTACAGATCATTATTCGCATTACGATCATGGCGTCGTCATAAGAAATCATCCTCAAAAGAACCTCATTCCAAACGTCCCCAAACCATCGACGAACCTTACCAGGTATTAATCTATGTGTACACTTCCATGCATGCGACAATAACCTGAAATATTCCCGACTTGTCTTTAGGAAATGCTTTTAATATTCGGTTCTTTTTTTCTTTTTTTTTTTTGTGTGTGTTCTTAACATGTAAGAAGTTTAGAGGAGAGATGGAAATTGGAACCTTAGACTTAAACCAGAACTGATGAATATCATCTTAAGGACTTGATTTCGAATCCTTATTTGCCATGTACATATGAGGGAATTTTTCATTTCTAGGGCCCTGGAAACGAGAATCGAGATAAAGGAAACATGTATGGAGTTGGCAGCTATAGATACAATGGAAATGGATTGCAAGGGAATAGTCCTACGAGTGCTAATAATGCTTGTTTCAAGCATCGAAGCATGGACACGTTCTTTTCTTCCATCCCTCCTCCAATCTCAAGAAGTGCAAGCAAGAGGAGCCCCGCTCCCAGCCCCCGACCCTCCTTTGCGTATAGGAATGGAAGCCTGAGAAGCACAGATACAAAAGGAATATTTCCTGAGACCCTGTCAAGAAGCCCAAACCGCTGGAACGGCAATCCCATCATGTTTTCAAACTCAACTGGGATGGTGAAACCTCCGCCTATCGAGAGGCAGCTCGAGTGCACGCTTGAAGAGTTGTGCTATGGATGCATGAAGAAGATTAAGATCACAAGAGACGTCCTTACAGAATCCGGGTTCGTAGTCATCAACATTTTCTCTTGACATTGTCTGTGATTTTCGAGATTGCAATGTCTGCTAAAGCCTAAGGGGGCACAAACAACATCTGACATTAGTTTTCAAAACGTAGCCGATGTAGGCAACATCTGATGTTGAAGCAGAAACAAGATGTTTTGCAATGTTTAATGATGTTTTTTCATCCTTATATTGCAGACAAATAGTTCAGGAGGATGAGATTCTATCAGTAAAAGTGAAGCCAGGATGGAAGAAAGGAACCAAGATTACATTTGAAGGAATGGGCAACGAGAGACCAGGAGCTTATGCAGCTGATATAACGTTTGTGATTGCTGAGAAAAGACATAATTTGTTTACAAGAGAAGGTGATAATTTAGAGCTGGCAATTGAAATTCCTCTGGTAAAAGCTCTGACCGGTTGCACCATTCCCATCCCTTTACTGGGCGGGGAGAAGATGAATTTGAGAGTAGATGAGATCATTCACCCTGGCTACCAAAGGATAATCACAGGCCAGGGTATGCCAAACACAAAAGAACACGGAGGCAGAGGAAACTTGAAAGTTGTATTCCTAATTAACTTCCCAACAGAGCTTACAGATGAACAACGAGCCACTGTGGTTAGCATTTTAGGGGATTCCTGTTGATGAATATGTTTTAGTTTCTTTCGGACTCCAGAGTTTGTTTTTCTTGTGGATATTTTGTGTTGCAACAGAATTTCATCATTGTAAAATGCATTAGTTAGAAACTCTGCATATAATTCAAGGATTACATCTCTGTTCTTGCATCTTACCTGCAGAAAACCAGTCAGCTGGCTTTTCTTTCCCTTTATTCCCCTTTCATTCATCGTTATAAGCAAATGCTGACCTAAAGATCTGCAGTGAAAAGCTAAAAGAGAGAAAATACTGAGAATGCTGCTATACGTCGAAATGAAAATAGAATTCTCGACCATCCCTGAGCCATCAAAAGACTTACTGATATTAGCATGTTCTGAATACAATGAGAAATACTAATAAGTGAAGATAAACTTCAATCTTTATCACTCAAAGCAGTGGCACTTGAAAGAATGTCCCACATTATGCCTCTTATGATACCAGACATCTAATGCTAAGCTTTCAAACTGGAACAGAGCATATCAGTTCTGCACTGAGAAAAAGAGCCTCAGAATAAAATAATTCTTGGTAGAGCTAGTTTCAACTATAGCTAGGTTCCTGTTAGTCTGACATCTTCAAACAATCACCAATCGTAAATACATTCCAAACATCACATTGAATTAAAGATGACAAAGCTGAAAATCATTTATATAATTTATTTTTAGTCTTGTATACAATCAACCTTAGTCAAAGTGAATTAATGCTTTAAAATATACTGAAATGAGTGCCTTAAATTATATTATTACATGCTTGAAAGAAATGAAAACGTGCAACATAGACAGCCACACCCGTTGTCTTTTAAGCCTAAGACCATCCCAGCAAAGCTCGGATTATGCTCAATAAACTACCACCAAGAAGAGCCTGCAACAATCTTAGCTTTCCCCTTGTGTATGGTGGGTATCTCACAAATGCATCACAAGCAAAACCTCTATAAAGAACAGCCTTCTTATGGCTAAAAGCATCAAAGGAGAATTTCCCATGGTACACACCCATTCCGCTGTCCCCGACTCCTCCAAATGGTAAAGTGTGTTCAGCAACCTGAAATATCAGGTGTGTATCATATATACGCATTCTACTATTTAATAAGAATGTCAAAATGAAGTTATAACACTGCATGTTCTGACTAATAGGAACATACCTTATGTTCTAACTGATTTCAACAGTATTTAGCATACAAAGAGAAGTAACTGCTAGCGTTTGCTATATAAAACTTCACTATATGACTTATAAGGAAAAAAGCAACATTGTCAACTCTTGACTCCCACATCAAAATCTATGTTGGGAAGCAAACATGAAAGAAAGCTCGACAAAAAATATAGTGAATGCTTTTATCCTATTGAAAATGATGGCCTTCAATACAAGATTATAAGATCTGTACACAAAAATATGGCCCTTTGCATCATTAAACTAAAAATTGTCTACTATATCCTTAGAAGATTATGCTTTCCCCTACTAAATTCATTCTAGAAATTCTTTTTGACTAAATAATATCCAAAAAAGGTAGTTAAAATCTAATGTCACCAATGGCTTCTCAGTTCCCAGTGACATTATTCCAGAGACTCATATGATAAGAACTACTATAAAAACAAGTTATTAATCGCACCTAACTTAACATTTGTGCATCTTATGCTTGGCATACCAATTTAACCATCAGAGGACACTAAATATGCTCTCATTAGCCAAATTGAGGGATCACTTGCAACCTAGACATGGAGATTACCACCACTTTTGAAGGTAGATATGTGTGGATATAAATTGTAATAACGCATGCATGTGTCCACCTTGATTATATGAGTTAAAAGCATAATTACATGTACAGTAGTGTCATTGACAACCAAACCCCCTGCAGAGACTTTCGCAACAAACTTCTCTTTCAGCTTCTTGTTATTGGTAAACAGATATGCTGCTAATGGCTTTGTTCCTGAAGAATTTATCACATCAAAGCTGTCTTCCACTTTGTCAACCTGTTATGAACCAACCACAAGAAAATCATGGTAAAATGTAACATATTCAATCTCTATGACTGAAGTAGAAGACTCCTGAGATAATTTCTCATTTCAATTTCCCAGATGGTATAAATGCTTTGTCTTTGTTTCTGCCTGGCCATTTTTCATGCTGAAAATTCATAAAGCAAGTTGCTATATCCTCTAGTAAATATCAGTGTTTACATGTAAAAGGAACTCTAACTTTTCCCTTGAAAGCTTTCCAGAAAAATGTTGCTTAGCTATTTCTTCATAAATTGCATTGCTAACACAGGTGAAGCATGTCTTATCATTCGTGTTCCTTTTAAAGAAAAGGATATGCATTAATTTTACTCAAGCAATAAAAAAGATTTGGACTCTTTAGATTTTTCCAGGACAATGCTACACAGAGAAACTTAAAAGAAAACTAAAAATAAATAGCAAATAAATTCAAATGCAATTGACACGTTTAGTTCCTACCATGATAATTGGAAGCAATGGACCAAATATCTCTTCATTCATGATCAGAGAATCTAGTGGGACATCAAGCAAGATAGTGGGAGCAATCTTCCTGTCGTTGGAAGAAAGAAAAGTGTATTAACAGTGAAAAGTGCTCACGGCATTTAAAAAGAGAAGTAAACCCAGGTTAGAACTCACAAGTTTGTTTTGTCTCTTTCACCTCCTTGGACGATTTTACCAGACACCTTGTCCTCGTCCAAGAGCTTTGACAAGCGAGCAAAGTGGTTTGAATTCACTATGCGAGACAAGTCTTTTGACTCCAGCGGATTCTTTCCATAAAACCGCTCCAATTCATGTTTGAAAGAATCTAGCTGCAGGATGAAAAGCACTTAAGAAAAAAGATTGAAAGGAAATAGATTACAAATGTTAAAATATACATGCAACCTTACCAACTTTGGAGCATAATCTGTTGTTGTAATAATGTAATCAGGAGAAATACATGCTTGTCCATTATTACACCCCCACTTGCCCGCAATAATTCGCCTCGTTGCAACCTGAAATACACAAATAAGTATGTCAGCATGCAAGTCACAAAGAAAGCAGACATGTGGCAAAATAAGCACTATACTTACCTGTAAATTGATGCCAGAATCGACAATGACTGGAGATTTTCCTCCAAGCTCCAAAGCAACAGGTGTTAGGTGCTTTGCAGCAGCTGCCATCACAATGCGTGCAACTCTTCCATTGCCTAAAAATTCAAAGATGCTTTGATTCATAATACCTTATATCAGAGTTGTAATGACGATAAAAATACTATAGCATGACAACATCTAAAGCATCAATCAGTAACCATACACCAAAAATTAGAACTCCTGGGAGGGCGCCAATTTGCCACATATTTTCCTCTTTTTGGAAAATCAATCAAGACATGGTGACATTGCATGTTTGAAAAGAGAATCAAAAAACAGCATATCACCATACCAGTACCTTGCAAAGCAACAAATAAATCTAATATGCCAAAGTAAACCCCAGAAAGGAATCCCTCAAAACCCTCTTCAGTTCTTTCCAGATCCCTAAGTGTGAGAAACTTTTGAGCACCATTAGACCAGCTGTACTTTCATGTTCCAATAAAGTCTTGACCACTTCAGGTGTTGCGATTATCCATAACCACCCTCAGTGGAAAAAGCAAGCTTCTGCCAAACAAGGGACCATGCAGCTGTCATTTAAAAGCCCCCTTAAAAGATTTTTTTTTGTAATTATATCTAATTAACTCAGCAAGGATGGGAAAAGGTTCATATTGAAGTGAGATTTCAATGAAAAGACCTCAACTTGCTAAGCCCTAATGTTCCGTAATTTATAGTTTGTGGTCCTAAACCAGATAAAGAATGAGAGTTGCAGCAGGTTGGCTTGGTGCCCAGTGTAGAACTATAACCACCATTTATCAACATAAATCCTAGAGAGTAAAAATGATTTCCAGGAGAATCTACACACAGTATTTATAAGACAACTATTAAACAAATACTACATAAATCCTAGAGAGAAAAAAAGATTGCCAGGAGAATCTACATGAAGTATTAATAAGACAGGCTATTAAAAAAATATTGAGTTATGCAGGCCCCAAAAATGAAGAACACCTGATTTTGCATCTAACACTGCATTCATTCAGAGAGTAATCTAAACCAGATAGAAGCTACACAAGGAACATCTAAACTAAATGCTATAATAGAGATCCTGTTAAGTCATCAACCATCACCACCTGGCTCTTCGTCATGATGGATAGTCTCAAAACAACTCAGCAAACATATAAGACTTACAATCCTTCACCCAACTGTTTGATAACAAGTAATAGAAAGCTACATCATGCAACACGCACTTCCATCATAAACTTCTTGGAACATATACACATATGACCCTAAAATCCAGTTGTCCAAGGGTACATTAATCAAGACATAAAAGATCAAGCTAGAAGAGAAGGTAAATGGATGATAAATGAGCAAGGACCTGTATAAAATATTTTGTCCCACTTCTGCTCCAGAAGCGCTGATGTTTCAGAAACAGCCCCTTCAACGACCTTTATGCAAGAGCTATCCAAATAATTGGCTACCAGCTTTGCAAGCAATGATGCTGTGGCTGGAGCAATTTCTGATGGCTTTAAGACTATAGCATTACCGGCTGCAATAGCTCCAACAACTGGATCAAGAGACAACACTGACAAAAGAGATAAAATTATAGTCATCATTCCAACAAATTTCAGAAATTAAAAATAAAAAGGGAAGAAGCCAAAATCTATAATTGTGAACGTGTCCATCAGAATGTTTAACATACAAAAAGGATAATTCCATGCTGATATTACTAACACAACACCCAAAGGCTCAGATACAATTTCAGCAGATGAAGGAAATGTAGTCAACGAAGTTTTTGCCTGCAAAAAAGGGCAAGTTAATTATATTCAATTCTGTTAATGTCAAGAAGAAATCTAAACAAAGCTTCAACCCAATTGAGAGGTAATAAAAAAACTTACCTTTTCCGGCATTATCCAATGCTTCATTTCCTTGAGTGCCAATCTACATGAGTTCTTTAACATCGCTATCTGCAGAGTAAACCATGTTAATATAAGAGGCCAAACAATAACATATTTTATATGGGACTTGCATAAAAAAGAATAGTGCACAATAAATTCTGGAGGCTAAATATAAATAACTCAAATATTGTTGCCTTCTTCACGGTTCCGCATTTCTAAATAGTGTGACATTTAGATATTAACTATCAGGTGTAGTATGAAAATAAATTAAAACAATATCAACTATCAAGAATCCACACAATGTAAAAAGAGAAAGATATCTCCATATAAAACTATCAAGTGTGACAAAAAATTAATCACTCCAGAACAAAAGTCATCTCAATACATTATTTATCATGAGTTAAAAAGCCTAAAAATAACTGACAGAAAGTTCCTTAAAGCACTTTATCTTCAGCAAAAATTGACACCATCACCAAGAACTATCATTTAAGAACCTCAAAAGAGAATTTGCTTACCATTCATCCTTAACTTCATTAGCAATTACAATCTAATCAACTTAAGCATTGAAGGTTGACTTGAAAGATACATGAAACTAGCTTAAAGTAAACCGACCATCAGCCTCAACAACTACACCCAGAGACTGAAAATATATAGTTTACGCATTTGGCTTAAATAACGTTGCTTTCAAACATGTGGAACAAGATAAATCATTACCAGACAATAATTGTTCAAAAAACTCTTAAGCATTCTTGAGATAATCAATATTTATCTAGCTTTGTCCCCATTATTCAGTGATTCCAACATTAATCAATCACAATTACAATTATCATCACAGCTGATGATCTGTAATAGCAGAAACTCAAATCATCAAATTATAACTATTCAAAAAAAATCAAATTATATTATTACAATTCAAAACAACTATAGATAGCAAGACATCTCTCTCTCTCTCTCTCTCTCTCTCTCTCTCTCTCTCTCTCTCTCTCCAACTTCTTGAAATTCAATCATCACTAATTCTTTTTAATCCTAATCTCTACTAATTAAGGGTAAATTCAGGAACTATCCACCCCAAAGCCCAAACTTTTCCATACTTTCCAAATAATTAATAGTTCTGACGAATTTATTCTCACCAATAAAAGGAACTATCCACAGTCACTAGTAAAGCTGAACAAAAAGAATGTGCTAAAATATAAAGAATTCTTACGACAATTACATCCTGCCGGTACAAGTGTGCTAGTTGGATTAACAATAAATGTTCAAGTACTCGAGTTCTAGCAGTTTCAAATAGCGAGCAATTCTTAACTAAAGTCTAAAATGACCAACCATTATCATGATAAAGCAAACTACTAGCATGTCATAAATGCTACTTGTGTCCACAAAGATATGAAGGCTGTCACCGTTTTAAACACCTGCAAGAACTTTGCACACCAGAAAAAGTAAAAAAAGAAATGGACACTATAATTTCCAAAAACTTCCCAACTGCTTTCTTCATGAATTTCATAATTCTCGCATGAAGCTTACAACGGTCTCACACAAAATTTATATTAATATAAATAAGATGTATTTATAGAGGAAAAATTAAATAAACCCCAAAAAAGGGGAAAATAATGAAAATAGACAGCACCAATTAGCTTTAGACAACAATTTCTCTCAAGCAAAATATATATCAAAAAATAAATAAAATTAGGATTGGAGACAAAGAAGTAGGTGAAGTTTTATCTCAGTAACCAAACATGAACCATCAAATGTTTTATGCATTTTCTGATTTGGTACGTTTGACTATTAAGAACAAATTAAAAAAAAAATAAAACTAAATAAATTCAATAATTAAGGATGGGGTGAATTTTTTCATTATTATAATTTGACTCTGAATCAAAAATCATTAATAGCTGACAGCCGCCTATTGACTCTGTGCTAATACTGTTATTCAGTTCGTGAAATCACTGCAGTGAGTTCTCGTCCATTTTAAAATTTAATCAAACAAAAAACACCTAATCCGAAAGCAAATTTTCGAATAAATTCATTGAAATACGAAATTAAAATGAAATGAATATGAGTAAAAGCTTTGACCTCGTAGATGTAGGATTCGAGTTCCGGCTTCGAAAGATCGTCGCGAAGGGCGGCGGCGATTTGCGGCTCGTTCTCTTCCATCATCTTCAACAGGGCTTTCAACTGAGCAACCCTCCATTCGTAGCTTTTAGTCTTTCCAGCAACAAAGCTAGCTCTCAACTCCTTCACCACCTCCTTCGCCGACTCCGTATCGAAAACCGCTTTCTTCTCCACTTCGCTCGCCATTATTATCCAATCCAAAAACTCTCCAAAAAAAAACCAATCGATTAGATTCAAACTTTAAAACTTATTACTATTATAGAACCGAGACAAGAAAAACGACGATTGAATTGATTGGCTTTTTTGGTAGTTTTGTGTTTTAATTATCTTCGAGAACCCGCCGTCCTCTTCAATGATGTCGTCGGGCGTCACTCTCGTGTGTGAATATAAAATGTGGCGAAATTGCGTGTGTATATATAGTGGGAGAGTCGTGACTCGCGCGGAATCTCATGGCGTTTCTCGTCACCTGTTTTCGGGTGTTACAACATGGGTGTTTCCCACACGAGATAATAAGCGCGTTTGGGAAGGGTGCTTTTGCTTCTGGTCCTGCTGGCTTGGAAAGATATCCTCGGAGCAAGGTTTTGTCAAAAGATTCAGGTTTTCGGCTCAAATGACCATTAGAATGCTACGGTATCTGTAATAATGGTTTTTGAAACTTCTCCAGAAGTGATGACCTTTTTTCTTTTGCCATATCGATTTATATGTAAAATTTGTATAAATAAGTCGCTTCAGAAAATAAAATATATATTTTATAATTCTTACGATAATGATTTTTCTTGATTTAAGTTTTAAATGTGTTACTATTTTTTTTAGCATTAAAATCTTTAGGGTGAGAATAAAATAAAGATGTAAGTAATTCTAACTATTGATGTTTTAGTATCTTATTCACGATATCATTAATTAATTTTATTAAGATCTTAAATATGTATTTAAATATGTAATAAATATATAATAGATTTATTTACATAATTAAAATTTATACAACTTATAATCTCAATTTTATTAAGATCTTAAATATGTATTTAAATATGTAATAAATATATAATAGATTTATTTACATAATTAAAATTTATACAACTTATAATCTCATTAGATGATTAATTCAATTGAAATGATTAAATTAAGATATAATTTTATTATTTAAATCTACAACAAAAAAATTATATATGTCATAATATTTATCAAATATAATAAAATTTAACATTAACAAATTTTAATCATCATAAAACTATTAATATGTACATAAATCAGTATACAAGTCTTATACTCTATTTATCTACTCGACACATAAACACACACAGATATATGCATTATAATACGATTGATATTATATCTTAAATATAAATAAATTTAATGTGATTAATACATATAACACAATTACCTTAAATTCAAATCCATTTAAATTTGTATCATGTTATCATGTGGTAAATAAAATTACCGTACGAGATTTGAGCAATAATACCGTCGTACAAATAACCATATTCATTAGTACATCACTTAGCTATATATGTTTCGTGAACCGCATTTCACATCCAAATATGTTTTAAATGTTTTACACAATTAAATTTTTTCTTTTCAAGACATAATTTAACCTTCTAGATAATGTTTATTGTGTTTTTGAATTTTCCTTTCCTAAAAAAAAAGTAGTGCTTACACACAAAGGGATTCATAGACCCTTTTTATTTTTAAAATTGTAACAGACAATGGGGGATTAATGTTAGATCAACCATTAATTTAAAACACATTTAAGGGGAAACAAATATTATACAGCATGTCGTAAAATTAAACTTATTAGAAGATTATATGTATATATATACACGTAATACTATACTATTGTAATACCTTAATAATAATCAGCCTTTCTTGATTTAATAATATTTATAATAACATAATTTCATTACTCGTAAAGTTTTTTTTAAACAAAGTTGCTTTTATAATTATTGGACGGGAAAAACTCTTTATCTCTTTGACGCGGACTCCATATCTTTGTGAGATTAAAATTTAATCAAATATCAAATTTGAGACATGGACGACTCACTAATACCAACTAACGTGCACATAAATGAAGCTTGCCGAATTAGCACATTTAACGTAAGAAAAATAATATCATTTGTGTAGTTGAATCATATAAGGGTGAGCAAAATCAATCTAAACCAATTATTCATTTAAATCAAATACGATTTGGGTAAAATAGTTCGGTCTAATTAGTTATTTGATCAATTGGTCCCAAATGTTTGGTCCAATTGATTTTTTGGTTAGTTCTTAGTTTTAAAATTTTTGAACTAATCCACCCAAAAAATCAAGCTAGTATTTTATATATTTGTATATATTAACATATATAATATTTTTATACATATTAAGAGAAATTGATAGTAAACTTAATTAATAATATACTTAAAATATATTAAAGTATTATATATCTTAAATTTAAATAAATTAAATAAACTTAATGTGATTAATAAATAAAACACGATTACCTTAAATTCAAACTCATTTAAATTTGTATCATGTTATTATGTGGTAAATAAAATTACCGTACGAGATTTGAGCAATGATACCATCTTACAAATAACCATATTCATTAGTACACCACTTAACTAGATATGTTTCGGAACCGCATTTCACATCCAAATATATTTTAAATGTTTTACACAATTAATTTTTTTTCTTTTCAAGACATAATTTAACCTTCTAGATAATGTTTATTGTGTTTTGAATTTTCCTTTCCTAAAAAAAAAAAGAGTAGTGATTACACACAAAGGGATTCATAAACCCTTTTTATTTTTAAAATTGTAACGGATAGTGGGGGATTAATTTGTAAAATGTTAGATCAACCACTAATTTAAAACACATTTAAGGGGAAACAAATATTATACAGCATGTCATAAAATTAAACTTATTAGAAGATTATATATATATATATATATATACACGTAATACTATACTATTGTAATACCTTAACAATAATCAGCCTTTCTTGATTTAATAATATTTATAATAACACAATTTCATTACTCATAAGGGTTTTTTTTATAAAAAAAAAACAAAGTTGCTTTTATAATTATTGGACGGGAATAACTCTTTATCTCTTTAACGCGGACTCCATATCTTTCTGAGATTGAAATTTAATCAAATATCAAATTTGAGACATGGACGACTCACTAATATGAACTAACGTGCACATAAATGAAGCTTGCTGAATTAGCACATTTCGGGGGAAAAAAATAATATCATTTGTGTAGTTGAATCATATAGGGGTGAGCAAAATTAATCCAAATCAATTATTCATCTAAATCAAATGCGATTTGGGTAAAATAGTTTGGTCTAATTAGTTTATTTGATCGATTGGTCCAATTGATTTTTTGGTCAGTTCTTGGTTTTAAAATTTTTGAACTAATCCACCTAAAAATCAAGCTAATATTTTATATATTTATATATATTAATATATATAATATTTTTATATATGTTAAGAGGAATTGATAGTAAACTTAATTAATAATATACTTAAAATATATTAGGGTATTATATGTACATATACAAATCAGAATCATAGCAGTTTAATATTAGTTATATATATTTATTTATAAATATGTATTAATGTAAAATTACAAGTTATATATTTTAAATGATATAACTTATATGTTAACATTATAATATATGATAGTAAATATCCTACATATTAATATGTTAATTATTACACTTAGTAATGTTTCGTAATATAAAATGTTATGAATATATATAATTGTATAAATATATTATATATACATATATTTAATTTATACATAAATATTACTATAATTTAAATAAACTTTATTTATATAATTATACTTAATAACTTTATTAGTTATCACTTTAAATTTTATAACATATTGTTTATAATTAATTATTATTTATACAAACTTTGATATAAAACATTATAACATCTAAGTTATGTCATTAATTTCATATATATATATATAATAAAATCATATATTATATGTACATATATTTAATTTATACATAAGTATTACTATAACTTATAATAGACTTTATTTATATGATTACACTTAATAACTTTATTAGCTATCACTTTAGATTTTATGACATATTGATTATAATTAGTTATTATTTCTATAAACATTGATATAAAACATTTAAACCTATAACTTGTATCATTAATTATATATATAATAAAGTAATATATTAGACATACATATATTTAATTTATACATAAGCATTACCATAACTTATAATAAACTTTATTTATATGATTATACTTAATAAGTTTATTAACTATCAGTTTAGATTTTATAATATATTATTTATAA